GAATCCCCGGACACCTGGGCAAAATACTAATAAAAGAAATGACTATTTTTAGTGGTCCTGAACCCCTCCCCCTCCCTTTCTTGTATCACTTCCCCCCTTCGTAAAGAACCGATTAGTTTAAATATACTTTACATTATGCAATTCTAACTAGTAAATAAGAAAAGGAAGTTAAATAGTGCTCGTTTTATTTTGTACATAATTGATGTTTAATATATCATAATTTTGTAAAGAATATTATNAGGAAAAAATAATCACAGAAAACTTTTAATTAAAGTAATGCAACTTTTTAAAGAGAATGGACTTAAAATAAGTTTGAATAAATGCTCAGCCTTCGTCAAAAGTTATCAATTTCTCGTGTTTAAATTTGAACCATCAGGAATATCTCTAACAGATGAAAGAATAAAAAGTATAAATAAAATCCCCCAACCCAAAGACTTAAAATCCTTTCAAAGATTTTTAGGGTCGTTCACATATATATCTAAATTTATCCCAAATCTGCAATCTCATCTTTTGCCCCTGACGAAACTTTTAAATAAAAAAACCGAATTTAACTGGGGACCCGAACAAACAAACGCATTTAACTCGTTAAAAAATAAAGTGACAGCAGACTTAAAACTAAATTACATAGACACGACAGAACCTTTATACCTATACTGTGACAGTTCTCTCTGGGCGGGAGGTAGTGAACTTTATCAGGAAGAAAAGATCACAAAAAGAAAGAAACCCTTAGCTTTTTTTAGCCGTAAATATAGTCAAAATCAGGCGAGACTGTGCTCAAGTCTCGAACTCGAATTAATTAATGTTATCGATTCACTTTCAAGAATTCAAGCTTTTATTAACAATTCAGCAAAAAAACTTATTTTAGTAACTGACGCGAAAAATATTTTGTTTTTGTTAAAAAATAACCAAACCGGCCCAAACTTAAAACTTTCAAGATTAGGAGCACGCCTTGCCAATTTTGACATAAATTACGAAATAAAATATGAATCACCTTTAGAAAACGAACCATTCTGTATTGCGGACTTTTTAAGCAGGGCATTTCACCCTGAAAATGGAAGCGAAAAGAATACCCCCATGCGTGAACTACGTATAGTCACAAAAGACGACATTACACATGACTTAAAAGAGGGACAAATATACAGCTTGACGGACTTACAAAACTTGACAAATCAAAACGGACACTGGTTTAAGAACTTCCCAACACCAGACGAAAAAGACTATAAAAAGGACTCACCTGACTTACAAAATGAGACTGAAACTATTGAACATCCAGCATTAGCTCCGTTGAAGGAAGGAGAAGTAAAACCTGAAATAATTAGAAATATATTTGGAAAAAATAATCTTTCTATCGAAAAATTAATTGATGAGCAAAATTCAGATGAATCCATAAAGCAAACCATTTTAAATTTAAAAGAAAACTATGAAGAAGCAACCCCAGACAAGGAAGGGTTTTACCTCTACAAAAATATACTTCACAAACTTAAAACATCCAACTTAACACCGAGCCCCGAAAATTCAGTTTTAGTCTTACCCTCAAAACTTTTAGCAAACACTATTGCACACCATCACATTTTATATGGACACTTAGGAATTGACAGAATGACAAAAATTATTTCAACTCAATACTATAGCAAAAATCTAAGCAAAAAAATTAAAGACTTGATTGGCAGCTGTCATCTTTGCCAAATCTTCAAATCCCACAATACCAGATCCCCTCCCATCTCCCCAGGTGAATTCCCATCCCATCCAATGCAAACCTTATCACTTGACTACTTTTCTGTTCCCCCCTCCCATGGCTTTAAATATATACTTCTTGCAATAGATAGATTTAGTGGATACATTTTCACTAAACCTTGTAAAAATGAATCTGCAGAAGACGTTTGCGAATTTCTAGAAACCATTTTTTCCCAAGCCGGACCAGCAATAACGGTAACCTCTGACGGAGGTTCAACATTAACCAAAAACAAAAAAGTTAAAGATTTACTTTCAAAATGGGGGGTACAAAAAATATCCACTTCACTTCCTTATTCCCCGATACACAATTCTAAAGCAGAAAGAGCTATCCGAGCTTTCTGACATCTTATGAGAGTTTCAAGCCCAGATAAATTACATGGATGGTTTAAAATCTGCAAAAGAATCACTTATTTAATGAATTCAACCCCAAGAGTTTTCAAATTAAAAGATAAAATAGAAATTTTTAGTCCATTTGAACTTTTCCTTCGCCGTCCCCCCCTACCTTTCTCAATAAACACAGCTTTAATTAAGGATCCAACCGCAAAATCACAATTATTACTTGAAAAAGAACAGATCAAAAAAACAGATGAATTTGTAATTAAATATTTGAAAAAGCAAAACGAAGTTTATCACGAAAATTTTAATAAAAACACAAAAACTCCTCAGTTCAAGGTCGGCGATATGGTCCTTTTAAAGCACTTAACCCCCCCAGCTCAGGGCCAATTACCACAAAAATATAAATCCCCATATAAAAAACAATTATATATCGTTAAATTTACCTCTGATAACCTAACAGTTCTTCTTGACCCAATCACAGGAAACGTTTCATATCAGAATTCTAAACATTTAAAATTATATAAAGAAAGAAAAGATATTTACAAGGATCTTGACCCTGAATTTCAACAATTAATGGGTGAATATTTTAAAAGCAACGACCTAAACTCTAAAAGTAAACTTGAAGATTTCCTTAAAAATATTAATTTTGAAAATATCGAAAATGAAGAAAAGTCCGACATATCAGAAAAAACTGAAACACATAGTAACATTAGTGAAAGCGTAAACATTAAAAAAGTAGAGAATGATATTGATATCCAAGATGAGTTTTACGAATCAGAATCCTCGTACCATGCAGTAGAAAAAAATGTTTCAATACCCATGACAGTTGTAAGGAATAAAAGTATTATCGAAGAAAAAGAAAAAAGTAAACCTCAGCGTATTTTACGAAGTTTTAGCAAATTCGCAAATAAATATTTAAAAAAGAAATAATTTTGTATATATTTGTATATAAAAAAGTTAGCGTAACTTAACAGCATTGCAGTTTATATCTCATGTTTTTTACTTTACTCCGTAACAAATACAGACTGAATACCGATATTTACAGGAATAAACCAGCAGAAATGACATCACACTATACATATATCACTTCCCTATAAATGACGTAACAAGTACAAAACTGCGGACATTATCAAAACAAACTACTTAATTAGATTAGGAATACTATATACAGAAACGAATAAAATAATATACAGATTTAATCAACATAGAACAAAATTACAAAAATTTTCAATATCAATTAACATATTTAATAAACACATATCGGAAAAACAAACGTGGGAACATATGGACTATATACAATGTACAATGTACATATCGGCAAACTATATCAACAAACTTTTTTCAAACAACAATGTTTATAAATACAACAAGCAAATCCAATCCAAATAAATACCTTCTTTTTTTTCATTCAGGCGGGAGAGTAAAGAGTTCTATTTACTCTTCTCATTGTTTGGAAACTTTTAACTCCAATAACCCATTCCTAATTTATTCAAAAAATTCAGCCACTTTTGCTAAAGAATCAGAAATAATAAAAGATTGTCTTTGTTTGAATCCCCCAATCCCTCTTTTACCCCTTTTACAATATACTAAAGATACACTGAAAACACACATCGCTAAACTAGAGACAGAAATAGTAGAGTTAAAAACCGGAATATTTACAATTACAGAGAGATTCACAAACCATACACTCTATCTAGATAACGAATACCTAAGAATACATAAAAACACAGACACACTTCAAACCACAGACTGTTTCCCACTAACTCTATCCACACATACACTTTTAGAAACACACACTATCCCAGCCAGGATAACACCTAATAACCTGAACACTTCACAACACGAACTTAACAAGTGTCTCAACCAAATGAACACATATGTATTATCATCTAGAAAGGCAGAACATCTCATACAACCTTCCACTAGAACACACCCAGCACTTAGAGCACACACACCTTACCATAATATAGCCCTAGTTTTAGGAAATTTGAACACAAACACTATTGAACACAAAATCATCATCACCTTGATTTCAACTCAAGTTATTTCGATTATCGTTTTTGTAATAACATTGTCCATATCTATCAGTTGTACAAGGCGCGGCCTTCTTTATATTCATAGATCCCTAATCTTGAGAAATTCTGAACCTTCTGAAGTTTCATTCTCTGTCCGGAATAACAGAGCACAATTTGGAAATTCTGCCCAATCTGAAAGCCTTATGTTACGCCATTAAACACAACCCTAATGTATGTATTAAAAAAAAAAAATTAGAAAAAGGAAATAAAAATGAAAAAATTTAAAAAAGTAAATAAAAAGAAGAAAATTTAGAAAAAGCAAATAAAAAGGATAAAATTTGAAAAGCAAACAAAAACCTAAAAAAAAAATCTAAAAAAAATGAAAAAAAATTATTCCTGCAAACGACATTTCTTTCTTGAAAGGGGAGATTGTAGTAAATCCCTGTTTTCCTAAATCCTTGATTTCTGACAATTTCAACGTTAAAAGCAATTATCTGATGGAATCCTTGCTTTTCCCATAGATCTAATCTCTTGCACCTAACAATTATAGAAATTGATGGGTTCCCCGCTGTCATAATCTGATTCCTTCCCCTACCTATTCAGACATAATTATATCCCTGACGTCTAGACAAATCCCGATAAAGAAATGACTATTTTTAGTGGTCCTAACCCCTTCCCCCTCCCTTTCTTGTATCACTTCCCCCCCTTCATAAAGAACCGATTAGTTTAAATATACTTTACATTATGCAATTCTAACTAGTAAATAAGAAAAGGAAGTTAAATAGTGCTCGTTTTATTTTGTACATATATTAATGTTTGTTATATCATAATTTTGTAAAGAATATTATTATGCTTTGTGTATAACTCGTATTATCTAATTCTTGATGATGGAAAGAACCCCAGGTCTTCAACACTCTACGACAAGCACTGGAAGGAGAAGGTCAACCCATCTGACCTCTCCCACTCTTCCACTCTAGAGGATCTCGGACAACATCTACCGAGACCTGATGAACCTGAATTAGAACATTGATTAATACTGTTTAGTTTAACATTCTCTAAAATAAATGAACCCACACAAACCCCTCTTCACGAAAATATATACAAATGTGGCGAAAGATAATCGATGACGATAGGTTGTAATATCTGAATGATTTCTTTGATATTAATTTGGTTTTTTTACGGTCTAAGTCGTATGTTCCAACTTCCTCAATTTGTATGGGCGCTACGCTCTTCGGTATGTGACGTCTTTATCAATTTTCTCCTTATAGACGCAACAGCTAGAAGTAAGATTAGTAGCGATCAAAAGCACTTTTTTATCGCATTAAGCCTATACCCCCTTTCATTTTTCGCGAACACTCCCTTTAAGCCTTTAAGTCTCAAATCCCCCAAAAACTGGTTTCAATTGAGCGGTGGCTTAAATCTTAAAAATTTAATACAATTATAAGTGAAACCAACAATATTTGAGCCCCGGCTTAAATTATTTAAATTCGGACTGTGGTTATTTTAAAAGTATTTTGTTCATCATTTGTGTTTTCAGTCAAGCTTTGAAATATCATTATTATAGGAGAAAATATAGATATAAGAGTAAAGCCTAAAATGAAAATAATAGTTTTTAGTAGTTATTTGCTTTCATTTTTTTCTGGGGGTCAAAACTACACATACTCGTAAGTTTAGAAATCAAAATACAAAATTTATACATTTGTAAAAATTCAGATTTTGTGGAGACTTTAAATCTCAAACTCTGAAAACGGCTTCTGTTTCTTTTTATTTGTTTCTCAATCACTTTTTACACAAACAAAGGGAACAAAATGGTGCCTTGCATTTGACGGAATGTATAGATGCTATATTGTTTGCACTAATGTCAGATTGAACTAACATACATTTGCACTGAAGTCTGCTGATCAGAAACTGGTTTGAATTACGATCGATCATTGGTGTAAATGAACAAAATCAGGCGTCACAGTGAATTGGACTAAATTTGTATTTTCCCGTCAGGAACATTTTAGTACAAATGTTCGTCAAAGTATAATTGATCTGGAATATTAAAAAAAATTGTCCAAACGCACAAATTTTTTTTTTCTGTAATATTAGTCCAATTGAACGTTAGTGCAAATGAAAATTTCAACAAAAAATGTTCAAACAGACTAAGGATTTTTTTCTGTAATATTGGTTGCAAATGAACATATCCAACCAGAAATTGTTCAAACTGACGTAATTTATTTCTTGTAAATATATTAGTGCAATTGAACGTTAGTGCAAATGAACGAATGAAACGGACTCATGTTTATTTTTGTGAATATTAGTGTAATTGAACCTAGTTCAAAAGAACATGTATAACAAAAAAATTAAATGCATTGAATGAATATTTACAACAAAAAATTTGTTCTAACGGCCTAAATTTTGGTTACTTTAAATATTAGTGCGATTGACGTTAGTTGTTAATTTTTTTTGTTGTTCATTTACACTTTAGTTTGATAGAACATTTATTGTTATTTGCACTAAAATATGTTCATTTGTAATAATTTATGGGCAAATGGTGAAATTTTAGATTTTAGTTTGATTGAATATTTTTTTGATCATGTACACGAAAATATATTCATTTCTACTAATTATAATTTATGGGCAAATAGTGAAATTTTAAATTGATTAAACATTTTTTGTTCATTTGTTCTAAATAAGTTCAATTGCACAAATTACAAGTTATGGGCAAATGATGACATTTAAAATTTTAGTTTGATTAAACATTTTTTTGTTCATTTGTATTAAAATATGTTCATTTGTACTAACTTCGATTTTACCCACAATTGAATATTTTTTGTTCCTTCCTACTGAAATATGTTCAAGGAGCAATTAATTAAATAAACCTAATTCCTCTAGAATTAGAAAAAAATAGTTATCTTCGTGCTCAAAAACCTTCCACGTGGATTTAAGTTTTATTGAACAATTAAGTGTTCAATCATACTATGGTGCGAATGAACGTTAGTCCAAATGAACATTAGAATGAATGTACGATCGTCCGATCAATCATTAGTGCAATTGATACAATTTCACTAGTGAAGGGTTATACTAAAAAAATTAAAGAATTAGCAGAATCAGGATGGAATGAAATAAAGATGGGGGTTAAATGAGGGAGAGAAGTTACCTTGAGAAAAAAAGTGAACAGTCACAGCCATATAAGACCTCACATTACCTTAACAATATTCGGTAAGGTTTTTTTTTACCCTTTATAATAAACTTAAGAAAAGTATTTTTGTGGCCTTTTCATTTAAAGGATTGAACATTACCTAAAAGTTTCAGATCTGATTTTTTTTGGAAATCCAGCAAAAACAAATTTAAAAAGTTTCTTTCTTTTTTGTAAGGGTGTAAATAGGACCATCCTGAGTTTTAAGAGACACTGAAGTTTTTCTTTAAAAAGGGTAAACATTTTCATATTTTGAGCTGAAGAGCGTACTATTTGGGAAATATTTAACAATTTAAGTTAACCTAAATCGAATAATCTGAAAATCCTGATTTGTTAGAAAAAATTCAGTTAATCTTAAAGAAATGACCTTGACCTGGATCTTGATTTGGATACGGATCCATTTTTATTTGGTACGGTTAAGGGATCTAGATCCGGATCCCCACCAAGTTGAAATAAATACTAAGCACTGCTTAAAATGGTTCTTCAAGTCATTGCAGTGGAAAAAAGCAAGAATTTTTTCTTCAAAATTTTTTCTTCCGTTAAAAAACTTCAGTAAACCTTTTATTAATGTTTATGACCTTGACCCGGATCTGGATCCATTGGATCAATAACATTTTGGCTTCCTGGATCCGCATAATAGTCCTCCAATGTGATAAATATGTTTTTAATAAGTTGATACAAACATGATTAAACTTATATTTATTTAAAAATGAAAAGTTTCCAATGTGGATATTCAGGTATAAGGTAATTGGGATTAAGGACATCCAATTATAAAGTTTCATTTTCAGGATCCCACTGAATTATTGTGATGTACTATGCATAACTTGTGAACATTTACATTAATCGTACACTGAACTAATTTTCTGACAAAACAAATTCATAAGGGGGTTGGACTCCCCTACTATTCTAAGCTCTGTTCTTTGAGCTTGTATTGTACTATAAAAATATTTAAAGTTGATAAGACAATTCACTCAAATAAATATATGAGGACTTGTACCTTTCTGCGACCAAATGTCAGTTGTGACCGCCACTTTTCTTGAAGTATTCAGAAGCCTTTTCATTTTATCACGGCACTAAAAATATCAGAAAGTTTTGAAGTGTTCTTGTTATTGGCAGCATATACAGTATACACTGTAAGCCCAAATGCAAAAATTATATCTGAGTCCATCTGAATTTCATTTTGTATTTCTTTGTCGGAAGTGAGATTCGGATTTGTGTAGCAGGAAAGAGTTTTAAAGATAACTGGAGATTTAGGTAAAAAATGGGGTAAAAGGCTTAATTTCCAGTAACCTTTCTTTTGAAGAGCAACATCCCTAATCTGCAAAGGTACCCATTAAAATTTTCGAGTGTTATGAACTCATTGATTTGTGACTGATCATTACTACCAGTTTAACTCCGTGTATAACGTTTATACATATAAATGCTGTGTAAAAAGCCGTAAAATTAGATTGTACACTAGCTTAATGTGTGAACTCGACATGAATGTCTCTTTTGTTTCTGGAAAATCCAGAATATTCAGTTAAATCTATAAACAGAATTCTACTGCTAATGATTCATTGTTTTTGACAACTTATTTCACAAAATTCCCGTCTGTTCAAAACCTACAATTTAGAAAAACTTAAAATACTTGATCACCTGAATTATCTGAAATCTATATTGTTAATACCTTGACATCAAGACTTATTGCTCTTTTGGTGAGCGTATGTCGGCACAATACAGTTAAATGAGGGTTTGCAATGCTGATCATCTTCTTGAAGTTCGGATCATTTACAAGGCTAAAATATATATCATATGAATGTAGTCAGCCATTTAATGTTAATTGGGATAAGATAAGATAATAAAAAGATCATGAAGGACCCCCAGACCGCCGTCCGAGTAAGGGTCTCAGTCAGGTGCTTCTATAATTGATTTTAGTGCAGCGAGGACTGTTTTTTTAAGACAAAATTGAGGTTGAGTAATAGTTTACAATTATATCGCTTTTGAGATGCATATGTGCGATTTTTTCACACTTTACAAAGTGCGTGGTTATTTTACTTAATCTTCCTTGGTTGGAGGAATCATAAGTTGGTAATGTTGGTCAAAAGGTGGTAGAATGCAAAAATTAAGAATTAAACACCACCCTACCCAGCCCCAACCAAAAAATGCAGAGTTAAAACTTAAATGTAAAAATTATTATTGGCGATTTGAATGATAAGAAAACTAGATGAAATAACACGGCTTCACAATTTAAATGGCAAAAATTTAAATAAAATATTGAACATTTGTTTTACTATACAATATATGACAATTTTGTTACCGATGTAAGTAAATGGCTTTCTTAAAAGAGGGCAAGAATAGAAAATAAAAAATGAACAAATGGTGGAGGGGGGAGGGGTGGGGGTTTTCAACGAGCGTGGGACACTAAATTAACACTGCGCTTCTTACAAATATTACCTAATGGGAAGAACTGATTGACAGATCCAAGAAATTAACGCCTCATTGAAAGATTTCTGTCTCGGATCATTTTGCTTGTAGACTGTACCTCCAGATGGGACCTTGGTGAAGAACCTAAGCATAAGTTAAGTTTATAATAAAGAAGTGCAGACTGTTCTTGGAAAAAAACAATGAAACTTCCAAGATCTAAAAGATCTAAGTGTATTATGTTTAAGTTTGCTTTTACTAAACTTTGCAATATCTTTATCATAGAAAAATTCAAATTGAAAAAAAAGATCCAAAAACTATCACGTTCGTTTTTGCATCATTTTTGGATTGTTTCTGTGTCATTTTTATATACATCTTTTATTAGGGTCAATCATAATAGACGGCACTGTTTAGAATAAAAAATAGGGGAAAACAAGACTAATATCAATCTGATTTCAATCAAAACTAAGCTGTATTTCTGCCTTTAACAAAAACTAGACTTCTTTAATGTAAGTCATTTTTAAGTAGGCTTCTTTCCCGTAAATAACTCTAGCTTTTAATTGTTGCTCCGAAAGTCATTTCAGAGCAAATAGACAGAAATGCAATTGCAATTTGCACAGTATTTATATACTAGACTTTTATCAGTGTTAAAAGATATATACTTACTTTCGGATGCCTATAGCTGCTGGACTGTTTGTGGATTGGATCGGTCCTTTCTTGAAGTATTTCTTCCTCCAGGCATTGATGTCGTTGATCAGAAGATTTTTCTTGTGGGGATGCTTACTTGTAACGTGATAAACTGAAAAAAACATGAATTTTGCTGAGTTAAAAAACAAACAATTTCAACCTTTTATGTCTTAATTAGCTAAAACTTTTAACCCTGTAAAGGCTGGGGGTCTGAATCTATGCATAGTCAGGAGGGGGGGGGCGTTTGGTGCGTCCCCCCCTAGAAAAAGGCCTAAGAGAATTGGTATAAGGTTGAAATGCATATTCATAGCCCAATTTTTCATTCCCAGCTCAAAGAAGAAAAAAATTTTACCGACAAATTAAATAGTTTGGCTTGCTAGGGAGGGTGGAAAAAATGTATAAAAAATGCCAAAAAATGAAAAAATATTTTTTTTTGTGTTAAACAAATATCTAAGTGTGACAAATGTTTCTGCATGCATTTTTCAAGGGCTTTTCAAAAACAGAGTTTTTAGCTCTGTAGCTTTAGTCACAAAAAAGTAATGGGCTATTTTAGATTGTTTTTCACAGACCGAACTTTTTGTTCCGCCCTGTACCCTACCCTATAACATTTTTAAAAAGTATTTTTTTAACAAAAAATCATTTAAATTACTTTTCATTAAAAGCCACAAAATTTCACGGTGAATGTTAAAAATGAGTGCTAGGAAAAAAAACCCCAGCCTGTTAAGGGTTAACTTTTGAAAGAAAAAAGAAATTTTTGCATCTTTTTATTTTAAACATTTCAGATACAGCTTAAACTGTTCTTCAGGAGGAACATTTTTGTCGCGAGTCCAAAAATATACTGTTTATAAAATGGATTAAAACAAACTAAAGTCATTTAATATGCTTTATCAATTGGACTACTGACAATCTGAACTAATGTTAAATTCCTGTTTTACGAATAACGACCCCATATCGAGAATAAAAAGCATTTCACATGCTTTGAATTTATTCAGCTATTTCAAATTAGGTTATTATTGATCTATATTTTTTTAGCAGAATTCATATTTTAGAAAAAAAAATAAAATGAAATCATTTTTTTTCTAAATAATTACAAGATTATAAGTTAAAACTTGTATACTACAGGCTAAAGCACAAATTCCGTAAGAGTCAGTCCATTCGACCATTAGTCAAATTGATATAGCACCAGATAATTGCATCTCATGTTTCAGTAAATTAAATGATACTTGAACATCAAAAGTTAACATTGTTGTATTAAAGTACGTTTGTACTTGTAAATTTTTGACACTGCGTGCAAATGTACATTTTGTAAACATATTTTCTTCGAAAAATATTTTTCTGAGTTATATAACAAAAATCTTAAATACTATTAAGAAGTTAATCTTAAATTCATTTAGTCAGAACTTACCTAAATTTGTTGGGTTTTTTCCTTTGATGAGCCGTTTACACATGCAACATTGCCTAAAAATGAATTGAGTACAAAAATCGGTTATGAACTGGCTTTAGCTTTGTTTAAACATTTCTAATAACTGTAGTAGTAGAAATTAGAACGCTAGTGAAAAAGCTTATATCTAAAATTGATGTTGATATCGCCGGTTATTAATAGATACAAACCATACTGTCTTCCATGCCACAGCATTTGAGTAACAGTTATACTGTGTTAAACAGTAAATTTAGTACATAGATATTGATTTTAAAAAATCCAGCGAGGTCATGCAAAAAAATGTATAAAGATATATATACATTTTAAATTGAAATAACGACGATTCCTTTAATGTAAACTTGCCAATTTATTTTTCTACAAAAATAAATAAAATTTTCCTCTGAAAATGTGAAGAGAAAATTTCATAAAGATTTCTATTGAAATCTGTGACACTCAGGTGATGACGGTTAATTTTTTTAATAGTGTTAGTGCTTAGGATCTGGATCCCCACGATTAAGGCTTCTTGAATATCCAGATCCGCAAAAAATATGCGGATCCACGGATCCAGATCCAAGGGGGAAAATATCAACCAAAAACTGAAGAAAAAATTTTACTCCCAAAAAAAGAGATGATAAAAATTTCCTGATTTCTGAATGGTTTATCAAGTTTTTAGCGTAAAAATGAGTAAAAAATAAGACAAAAAATTGACAAACTCTCCTTTTTAAAAAAAATTAAGTAAATTTTAAATAAACAACCTGGATCCGGAACTTTATCCATTTTTTTCCAGTGCGTAGCGTATCCAGGATCTGGATTTGAATCAAAATTAAATGGATCCTAAGCACTCGCTGGAAGGCTCAAATGTTGCAGGATGGAATACCATATGGTTGTGGCTCATGGCTGCCGGAAGACAAAAAGCTAATATGTGTCATGGAAGGTAAAAATGTTGTGGCTTAAGGCCGGGTGCCTTCCACGCTCATCAAGATGGATTATAACATTACCTTCTTAAATTATTTTTCATTTCTGGCTTGCTTAAGTGATTTTATTAACACAAAAAAGCCAAAATTGTGATCAAGAAAGAATTGATAAACTACTTTCTTTACAGTTACAAGTTTATAATTCATGTTCGCAAAGGACTACAAAACATGTGTGCCTTAAAAATCACCTGTGAGTGTGAATCTTTGTTGGGCCACTTGGGGTTCTGAAGTATGCATGAACTGGATTTAACGGAATATTTGAACTTCTAAAATGCAAAAAAAAATCATAAATAGTGGGTTAACCCTTTTCCGTTTGGGCTATTTGTGTCTAATTTGGGGTCCCCAAAGTGAATAAATACTAAAGTGGGCCAAACTCATAGTTGGATGACGACATTTTATGTCCCAAGTATTTATAAATATATATATATATATATATAAATATATAAATATAATATAATATATATAAATTGGTCGTTATACGGAGTATTCAGTACAACAGAAACTGGACTCCCTTTGTTTACAAACACAGGCTTAGAATTTGTATTTAACCTAATTAAATGTAGATTAACGTAAATTAAGATTTCAGAAGTGAATTTTAGCCATTTTACTGCACAATAAATAATTTTAGACAGCACAATGCCTGCATAGTGCATGCATAATCTGTAAAGCAAGGAATGCACAGTTTGTCATACCAGAAAATGAAGATGTTCAAAAAAAAAGGTTAGTTGCTCTAAGAGTCAGTTCTCAAACGAGCCAAGGGTCCAGGATTCGATCCTGACGACTTTAGTGGTCCCTAATTCTGATCGATGCAGATTGAAACCAGGAGCAATTCCGAAGTTTCAAGGAAACTATCTTAAGGAAAATAATGATCATAACTATTCTAAATTGCACGTTGATAAGCGAGCTCTTAAACTAAATAGAATGAAAAACTCTGTAAGAAGTCTAAAACAAATGGGCCAGTTTTTAAATTGAAATATATCTATTGGTTTTCACTTTTGTATTTTGATAGAAGTAAGAGTAGTACTATACATTAAAGATATTAAGAGAGGCGTTTTCAGGTTTTTTTTTCCAGGAAGGGCTTACATTTCTTCGTCTTTTTAGGGGGGGGAGGCCAAAACTCTCCAGAAAAGAATATATTTCACTAGTCCGAAAAATGAAGATCTTCGAAATAAATCTCTTGTTCTTCACTTTTGTATTTTGACAGATTTAAGAGTGGTTGAGAACTAGACATAGTTTTAAAGATACTAAGGTTGTTTTCCAAGTATGGGCTTACATTTCTTTTTCTTTTTTTGGGAGGGGGAGGCCAACCAACCCCCCTCCACCTAAAAAATAGCATATATTTCACGGATCCAGGAGGGGGATGAGCCCCCATAGCCCCCCTGAATATGCCTCTGAATAATAACATAATGTGTTTAAGAAATTTACAAACAGATTTCAAAATGGAGGGAGATTTGAAAGAACAAAACTATAAGCAGTTTTAAAGATAAATTCCTTTAAAATTAGAAGTGCCAGGCAAAATCAATGAATTGATTAAGCGATTAAATGGTATTTACATATAAACTACATACAAACATACAAATTCTTTTCATTTTAAATCGTGAAAATTTCGAAGTTCTAACTGAAGATGACATTTACATGGGTCTTTAGTCTATTTTTGCTAGTCTTTACTTTCCAAACGAAATCTTTTCATGCAATTATTTCCAAACCAAATAAAACCTTATGGCCCAACCTGTCCTCATTGCCTTAGTCTGTTCCACTTTAGTATTTATTCACTTTGGGGGTTCCCCCCTTTTTGATTTATGATAGGGGAATGTGATACATGTCCCTAGTTAAACTTTTAAAGGCCTTCTCATTAAATAAAAATTAGAATCTTAAATTTAATGGTTAGTTAGAATGTAAGGGTTGATTTAAAAAAGTTTTAAAAGTATGTAAAATTTGTTTTAAAATATTATCATTACACATGTTATGATATCCATTTTTCAATGGCTTTTCATATATAAAAGTTTTAGGCCCTGTAGCCCAATTAATAACAAAGTTATCAAACAGTTCTGATTTTTTAAACAACAAAATGGGATAGGATTAAGGACCCCCCCCCACCCCCAACTAAGGATATTTTCTATTACTATGACCATATTTAGATTATCATGGAGAAAGCTTAAAGATGAATAGGTCCTTACATTATCTTAATTAATTTCTATCGCAGAATAGAAAAAATAAGTCAAAGTGGGGAGCACTTTCAAACTTATGTAATATGTTTAATTACCCTGTTGGGAAAATCTTGAAAATGTAAACCCCTCAGTAAAAACAACAAGTAACTGATTATAAAATAGTCAAGCTTTAAAAGAATTATATATATAGACAGAATTTAAATTTCGGTTGTAAAACCTCAAATTTCCTACTTAACTACTTCATATTTTCAAGTAGGGGACAGAAAGTTAGACTAGATTTAGAAGGTTTAAGCTAAGACACTACCTTTGAAAGATTGGTAGATTGCTAACTTCTGCAGGTTCGCTTTCTCCAGATTCGCCATCAGCAGGCTTTTCTTCAGAATCACTGAAAAAAAAACTTTAAATGTGTAAGCATAAGTGTAATTTCAAGTGAACTTTCCCTGATCCACAACTGTACCTTTGAAACCTTTGACTGATAAAGAATGTCAGACAACCTCTAAAATCTGTACATAAATGCTTATAACCGTTGGATCCGCAAGATTTTGGCTTCCTATATACGGATCCGCAAAAATATGCGGATCCACGGATCCGGAACCAAGAGGTAAAATATCAACCAAAAACTACAAAAAAAAACTTTTAGTCCTAAAACCAAAATCAGAAGTTTTGAAAAAAAGGGAGATTATAAAATTTTCCTCCTTTCTAAATGGTTTTAGGATAAAAATAAGCGAAAAAATAAAACAAAATTTGATAATCATTTTTTGTTCAAAAAAAATTCAGAAGATCTGTAAGAAATGACCAGGATCCGGATCCGAATTTTTTCCATTGCGGATCCAGGATCCGGATCCGGATCAGCATCAAAATTAAATGAATCCTAAGCGCTGCTTATAATTGGTTATCACTTGGTTTCAGAAAAATTAATAGTTACTTTCTAAAAGGTGCAGATTTCATATTTACTTTTGAATGTTAGAAAACAATGTTAACGTAAAACAGGCGATCTACTTTTAAGTTAAGCAAGTTACAGATCAGCTGTTTAGACAGTTAAGGGTTTCAAGCAGTGCTTAGGATCCATTTAATTTTGATGCGGATCCGGATCCTGGATCCACACCGGAAAAAACTGGGTCCAGGTCATTTCTTAAGATTTACTAAATTTTTTTAACAAAACTAATTTTAAAATTTTGTTTTATTTTTTTTTCGCCTATTTTTATCCTAAAACTTGATTTACCATTCAGAAATTAGGAAATTTTTATAATCTCTTTTTTAAAAGTTCAGATTTGGGTTTTAAAAGTAAAAAAGTTTTTTGCAGTTTTTTTGGGAGGAGGGGGAGGGGGAATTTTCATCCAAAAAATGAATTCCTCCCCCCCCCCTTAAATTCATTCATTGTCCACAATTAATAGCTATAAAAAACTTCTGGGAAAAATAAAGATTTTCTCAAGGGTGGGGGGCAATGAACACCCCACTGTTTGCAAGAAAAATAAACTAACCTAACCCTCATGAACCTTCTTCAGCATGGTATACAAAAAATATATTATCCCCAAAAACACAACTTGTTAATAAAATTTCAGTACCTGCAACTGGAAGCAGAGTCGGATTGCTATAAAGGGGTTCTTTCCTTTCTTATCGGGCTCCGGCTTCAAACTCTGCTAGGACCTTGAGTGGGGTTCTGGGAGGTACTTCTAAACGTTGTCCTGCCTCGGCTCGGACCTAGACAATATGGAATATAGAGGATATGAGTATAAGTGTACTTGAGAACAAGCTACAACAGGTAGATTTAGATTTTAAAGACATTTCTAACACTAGAGGCACTATGTCCGCGTAGTACCCTGCAAACGAAAGCAAGCCGATCAGTTGTATTTCATTAGATTTCTACAGACTCAGTGACATCAACACCAGAATCTATATATAAAGTTGGCTTGTCTGTTTGTTTGTTTGTCTGTCTGTTTGTATCCAATAAACGTCAAAACGGCTGAACCGATCAGGCCCAAATTTTTTGTGGGACATCTAGGGACCCCAGGGAAGGTTTATGAAAAATCAAAATTTCAAATATTTGTCTCTATCAAAATTCGATCGTCATTAAATTTTTAAAAATTTTGAAAATCCGCGAATAATTTTTGTTTTGTTTTACAATGTACACAAAGAGAACATGTTCACAACTAATTTAGAAGATGGGCCCGAAGCGCCCTCTAAGGCTAGTGATGATAAAAATGTACACACCAACAGTATGACCAGTTGCTAAGAGGAGGGGGTTCTGACTAGCTCAGGCAAAATAATGGGGGATGACAACTATCTTTCTCTATTACCTGGACTGGGAAGTTGCATAGGGCTTCTAGTTCTGTCTCCTTCTCGAGATGAGCTCCTACTAGGTCTCCTAAACAAGGGGCTTTATTGCTACTATCAATTGTTTGCAAAGAAAGGGCCGTCAAGAATTGAACAAGTACGTCATGAAATAAATAATAAGGAATCCGTAATTCTCAGACAGTTTCTGCAAAGGGGGGGGGGATTTTAGCACATCATTCTCATTCATAACCCTTATGGCTTTTGGGGAAATCAAAATAACAAAATTAAATTTCAAGATTATGTTTTTAAGTTCAGAGTAGCTCAAAGCCAGAATTGTTGGATTCGCACATTCTAGTCGGATCTGGAGTCAATACCCCAGGGACAAAATGTCAACGAAAACCTGGGACATACCAATTTTTGCTCTCACAAATTACAACATTTAAAAGAAAAATATTAACAACTTCCAAATTTCTTAAAGGTTCCTTAACAATATTCCTAGAGACATATTTATCAAACTTTATTAAAATGAAATCCCTTTTCAGGTTCTAAAAAATCACACTCTTTCATCTTGTCAAATTATAGTGCATGAAACCAGGGGTTTAGCCCCCCTCCCCCCACCTTGTAAATGATTTTTTTTATTGATTATGTATTGTTATGTTCTTTTAATGTAATTAGAGCAAAAAAATACGCTTTTCTTAGCTGAATTGGGGAAAATAAATGAATTTCAGAAGGAAATTAATCAATTTATAACCTTCGTTACTTTTATTATATGACCCCCCCCCCACACGCCTCTATTTTAAATATCTTGTACTTTAATTTCTTGTGTGCCAAATTTCAAGCATATATAAAACAAATAAAGAATTAGGTTTTAAAGTTCAAATTGACCATTTTGTGGGGCTCATGGCGGCTCTGCACTCTCAAAAGTAGAACAAATTTCTTCAATTCATGTCGATATTGGTATAAAAAAATGCTCCTGGAGAAGGTGAATACTGTCCTGTTTTTTGTTACAATATTTTCAAAATTATAGCTAATGGCCAAAAAACTTAATCATACGAGACTCTGCCACAACAACATGCTGATCCACAGATCCGGATCCAATGGTAAAAATATCAACAACTGGGAAAAAAATAATCTTTTACTTTCAAACCCCAAATCTGAACTGTTAAGCACTGAGTTGAACCCCCTTTTTCTGCACAAATCTAAGGGGGATAGGTCATGAAACTGTAGAAAACCCCATTTTCTAAACAAAGGTCGGGGAATAAGTTACCTGATAATCCGCTTTCTAGTCCCAGGATCATCAACATTGTCATCATCTTCGGTACTGTGTCTGTAGCTTAGGTTGTCATTCTCGTCTTAAAAGTAGTAAGTAGTAAGTATAAGTATAAGTAAGGGAGGGGGAGGGGGGGGGGGAGATTTTCAGTGCCCACATCAGTTAATCCCTTTAATAATTAAAGTGATGGGTTTCATTGAGACAGAAATTGAATAATGGCTGAAGTTTGGAAAACTTGCATTAACAAGTTCAGTTAATACTATTTCGATCGTGAACTTTTTGGACCCAATAGGAAAAGAAGTTCCTTAATTGTATCATGTTTTAGCATAAATATAAGCAAAAAAAAAAATTAATCATAAGCACTGCTATTTTCACACATCTCAAAATGTTAAAAGTTAAAATTGTATACCTTCTGAGTTTGAAAAGTCTAATGCTCTCATTACTTGAGACTCAGTTCGAAGGAGTTTATCAAACCCCTTGTCATTGACAGCGTCTAAAAACATTTTTAATTAAAATTTCAAAAAATTATTTCCCACCTCCCATTTTAAACTTAAAACCAACATGATAATACTTAGCTTCATAAAATATGTATCCTATTCCTAGTAAGTTGATCAGTTAAGCAAAATGAGAAACATCACAATAATCTCGATATGTACATTTTTAATACACCAGAGCTAAAAACTTTAGAATGGTGGATATCGAGATTAATGCTTGATCCTCTCTTTTTCTTAATATCGAGACTAACCTAATCTTGTACTTACTCCTGAAAAGTGTACAAAATTCAACCAATCAGAGTCGCATAAATGAAGCCGATAAAGTTGAAATTTTGCGTGCCTTTTAAGATTATATACAGAAACGGGAGAGACTCTCTAATTTAGAAAAACCGGTTTTTGATTTTTTCTCTACAATATCCAAGAAAGAACGGTTTAAGCAGAAAATCAAAAGTGTGTCCATTGGATACTCAGATTAAGTAATCAGGATTAAGGATATCACATCCTAAAGTTTTCAGCTCAATTAACAATTACCTAACATCAGATATTCATACATGTATCTATCAATGCTCAGGATCCGGATCCGTCGAATCCGCAAAATTGTGGCTTCCTGGATCCGGATCAGGGGCATAATATCAACCAAAAACTGAAACAAAGAAACCTTTAGTACTGAACTATTGAAAATAGTGGGATTATGAAAATTTGCTGATTTCTGAATAGTTGAATAAGTTTCGGATGAAAATAAGACAACAAATTAGAAAATTCTGCTTTGTTAAAAAACTCAGTAGATCTTAAAGAAACCACATGGATCCAGATCCATTTTTCCAGTGGGGATCCAGGTTCTGGATCCGATTCAAAATAAAATGGATTCTTAGCATAAATTAGGAAAAAGATACCTAAGAAATCCTTACCCATACTCCTCTCAGAGGACCGATTAGGACCTTTAATTGATTCTGGTTTTCTGAAAATATTGCTAACAGTTGCTAAAGAATGTCCCTATTGAGTAATGTTGCTGCGGCGCCCGGCCCCCTAGCCTGTCCTAGCTGCGGCACTAAACCTAGAAAATTGTCTTAATTCTAACTTAACACAAAATAAATAATAATTTTTCTAAAAGTAGTTGGTCAGGAACAAAATTGTTAAAAAGGGGGGAGGGGGGCGTCTAAAAACCGTTCTTAGTAAAAACCGTTCTTAGGAAAGACCCAGTATGTAATTAATTTAAAATATTATTTAGGATAAGACAATTTCTTGGCTGAGCACTGCGGCTCAGACAGGCTAGGGGACCGAGTTCAGTGGCTAGGGGGCAAAATATGCCTAATATGCTGATTGAGAAAAAAAGGGGGGGGGTCTGTCTTAGAGAACGATTTTTGGAACCCCCCCCCTCCTATCAATTTTGTACATGACCATTTATTTTTCAGCAATTATATTATTATTTATTTTTTTGTTATTTAAGGTTAGGTTAGGTTAAGAAACTTTCTGGGCCGAGCGCTGCAGCTAGGATGGGCTAGGGGGCCGAGCGCTAAGGCCACGGGTTAGGTTAGTTAAGACACTTTCTGGGCTGAGCGCTGCGGCTAGGACTGGCTAGGGGCCGAGCGCTGCGGCCACAGGTTAGGTTAAGTTAAGACACTTCCTGTCAGACCCATGTACAAAATTGATAGGAGAGGGGGGGGGGGGTCCAAAAATCGTTCTCTAGGAATAGACCAAAAGGGGATCCAAAAATATTAAACAAGCAAATAGCCTATCCATTTTCAACAATTTAGGGTTATGGGCACACTGTTCCATTGAGACCGTCAGGTTAAAAGTCGTGTCACTCGAATGAAACCTTTTGCAGTAGATACATCCATGTCTAGAGTTATCATAGCAACCAATTTTAAAATCTGCACTGCGTGTTAAGATGGTTAAAATAATAAATTAAAAAAAAGAAATAGTTTTGTTAAAAATATAAATTATAATATCATAATTGAAGAAATCCGCAAAAAAAACGGGAGAAAATGTTCGAATTTCGAATTTTCGTACAGTTTTACCTCGCACTTTCAACATCTAATATACATTCAATCATGGAAAAGAACTTTGAAAGAAGTTCTGTTTGTTGTTGTTGTTGTTGGGAATATTTTGGATTAAGATCTAAACATCTTACTCCTGTGAATTCAGCCATTGAGAAGACTGTTCAAACCTTTATTTATCCTGGTTACTCTGTAGATGTTTGTAGTTATCCTAGCATGGTTTGTTCTGGTTGTCGGAGAAACTTATATTTGCTAAAAGCAGGGAAACAATCTCGTGGAGTATGGGGAGAGAAGGTTGCTAAGGTAGAAATATTTTGTTTAATAAAAGTAGTTACATTTCTTAATCCAATTAAAGATCTGATAACTCGCCAAAAATCTTTAGTTTTCAAAGTTCTAAATCTATGCACGACAACTTTTTTATTTAAGTTTTGATTATTTACAAGCTTTTTTCGAATTATAAGTTTACAAGAAGTTAAATCGACAACTTCTCACTGTTTCCATGTTTATGTGTAATGTGTATCCTTGCTGTTTAAAAGCTTGATTTATCAAAACTGAGATGGAAGTCGTCTTCATTTATAAGATATATATATATAAAATAATTACATTTTAGAGTTTTTGATTTGCTATAAAAGACGTAATCCTAAAAAAATGATAAGTAAGTTTTTAAATATTTCATTGCAGGTTGAATGGAAGATGCTGACCAGAACATCAAGCTCTTCATTAATCCAGCAATCGCCAGAACCAACTGTTCAAGCTTCTTCAGGGTCTAGCCTTTGTTCTGAATGTCTGACTACTCTAGCTCCAGGGATAACTCATAACTGCAGTCCTTCAACTGCAGTTTTGAATATGATTTTTTTGGCAATAAGTCTCAGATCTCTTCAAGCTGAACAAGTGGCAGCAGGTTTGCTCAAGAATAAGATGGATAAGGAGAATATACAAAAAGGAGAAGTTTTTCTCTTGTCTACAGGTGGAAACAAACTTCAGGTTNTAATGATAGGAGTCGTTTCATCTTTGGGAAACTTATTGATGGATCTCTGGCCAGGGTTTGATACCTGGTTAAAGCTACAGGGGGTTCTACAAAGAGGATATCAGGGCCGTGGTTGGGATGGAAATAATTCTAACAAAATTCTGAAGAACCTGGATAAACTGGAAAGTATAGTCACATCTGAAGCTCCTCAACTTCTACAAATTGTAAAATGTTTAAAAGACTTTAAAGCAGTCAAAGAAGCATGCTTTGGAAAGAACCTAGAGAAAGGTTTCCATTGAACAGCTCAAGAATTCTTTTACTAGTGTCCAAGAAATGGCAGAAGGTTTGGGAGGAAAGTTGTCTATAACCTGGAAAATTCACATATTACTCTGTCATGTTTTACCATTTGTAGAGTACAATAATTGTGGACTTTCAAAATATGCTGAACAATGTGGCGAAGCAATTCTCTCCAAGTTCAAACCTACCCACAGCAGATATAAAAGGATGGAAGAACATGGTGAGCGTCTCCTTTTCTTCAGATCTAAGCTTTAATGGACGTCGAATATGTTAAACAATATTGTTATTATCATTTTTGTTAGTGACAAAAACTATTTTAATATCAGTTTTTGTTTAAATAAAAAAGATTTTTTGTTTTTTCACATTTTGTTAAATGCATTCGGATACATTGTTGATTTATTTTTTGTAAAAAAGTGAGAAAATCCGCGAAAATAAAAAAGTGATTTTTGATACTTTAACACGCAGTGCAGATTTTAAAATTGGTTGTTATGATATCTCTAGACATGGATGTATCTACTGCAAAAGGTTTCATTCGAGTGACACGACTTTTAACCTGACGGTCTCAATGGAACAGTGTGCCCCAGCCTTTTTAGGGTTAAGGTTCCAGCAGAATCTTTAATGATTTAAAATCTAAAATATGTATTCTGTAAACATATGCATTTTACTGGTATTATTACTGTGCAAGGAAATATGGGAGAATAGAATGTAAAAGAGAGCAACATTGTGGAATACCCAACTTTTAAAATTTTGCAGATTACAGAGTGTCCCTCAGCATATTAATTTGTTTATAGCTCTAAATTGAGATGTAATTGACAAAACAGAAAGTTTAAAAAATCACTTAAAAAATGTATAAGGCTTATTTAAAAAATCTTGCTTTAAATACCACTTTTTGTTGAGTATTATGTGTGTCTTTTGGCGTTAAAGCTTGGAGATAATACAATATGATTTGGGAAGCTCTGTAGTTCTAAGCCTTTCTAATGAATAAAACCTGCTATGATATCCTCCAGGTGGGAATGAGAAGATATCTTCTGAACAATGTCGTCTTCGTCATATTCATCGTCTTCCTCTTCCTCTATCTATTAATACATAGAGATGGGTCAGGCTTAGCTTTTGTAAGCAGACTAAATTTTTAAAAACAAACGAAATTTCCTTTGAGAACAAAAAGATTTTTCGTGAACGATGGATGATCAATAGGGTGTGTTCGCTAGGGTATTTCAAAAAACAGGGAAATCAAAATTTTAACATGTGGAGAAATTTAGGGAGTGACATTATACTATTGGAACATAATTTCAAATATTTAGGGTCCTTACATAGAACAAATATGTTACCCTTTTCAGTTAAAAATGGCATCAACAAGTTCGAGGTTGTGTGCTTACACCCCATTTTCGATCAAATATCAATTAAGGATCCTAAATATTTGGAATTATGTTCCAATAGTATAATGTCACTTCCTGAACTTCTCCACATGTTAAAATTTTGATTTAGCTGTCTTTTGAAATACCAAAACGAACAACAATTGGATTGTTCAGAGAAATAAAAAAATCGTTTTTTTCAAAACGAATGGAAAAAAATTTTCGTTCATGAACTATTTCTAAACTGTTCGTTTTTTAATGAACGCAGGAATTTTCCAAAAATTTTAATTTACGCCCGATTTTTTTAGATTGAAGGTCACTTAAAGATTACGCTTACAATCCCTTTAAAATATCACCTCCATGAGTTCTGCAGTGAGGCTGGTATCCGAAGTAATACCAGATATATCGGAAACCTAGATTTAAACAATTGAAAATTCCGACCAAAATAATAATGGTAATTTATGGATTAAGCCTCAATTTGGTTTGAAAATATTTTCTTTAGAGCACCAAACAAATGGGAAAAGGAGAGGCTCTTAACTCAGTTGAATTATGAAAAAAAACTACAGGATATTTCAATCTGAAATTTAATTTACTTAAAGTTTGACGTGATAAAGGTTAGGTACAACAAACCTTTGTTACTGAAAAAAAGATACTTTTTAAAAATCATACCTTTCTTGATTCTGAACCGTAAGAGCTAGATGAAGACGACGTTTTCCTGCTGTCCGCTGCTACTGTGAAATTAGCTACGCCTACAATAAAGGGACTGTAAGCGTAGTTTCATGTGATCGCAATGTCCGATTTACAACGGTACCTTTAAAAGCTCTGTCTGATCAAGTATGAATTGGATATCATTGTTTAAAAAAGGGAAAGCTAATTATTTCAGGAATTTTAAACGTATCAAGGTTTGAAAATCTTAGTCTTTCATCCTAAAATTTTATATTTTCAGTGTAAAGAAATAACTAGCGATCTGGAAAGCAAACCAAACGGTTATTTCTGAGGATGTTTAGGGTTACGGGTTTACAAGTGTTTGAAATCAAAGTATATAATTGAAATTCCACTGTTGTATATTTGTATCTTAAATTAAAGTTTTGTTAGAAAAATGTTACCTAAGCAGTTTCCAGCTAACAGAAAACTGATACTAATCTTGTAATCAGTGCCTGGAAAGATTTGTTATTGATTTTCTTTATACATATTTTGATATAAATAAACAAAGTCTAAAAATCAGTAGAACATTATTATTTTAGTATTTTTAAAGGGTCTGTACGCATAATTTCAAGTGATATCAATGTTTTGATTCTTGAAACTTTTTATTTTCATTTCTGGTTTCTCTGAGAAAATGACTTACGCATTTCTTGTTTATAAGAAGCCCCGGTGAAACTCAAAGAAAAAAAACATATTTCAGAAAAACGACAATACCTTCCACATTTTTGATCTGATTAAGGTTTCAAGGGTACAGTTGGAAATCGGGCATTGTCATCTTTGTATAGAGGGTTACTTGATATTACGGTTACAATCTGATGAAAAGATAAGTTGACCAAAAAAAAAGGAAAAATGTACCTTATATTTTTTTATTGTTCAATCAATTTATCATCATTTTATCAATGATAACTTAAAATAAAAACCTGTTTTTAGATTTTTGAAAACCGCGTTGTACGGTGATGTTGCTGAACCATTGGAATTAGATCCATCAGAACAAAGTAATCTTTCAATCATATTTTTCCTTAAATTAGATTTATTTCATCAACATTTCAACAATATTCCTTCAACAGTTCATCAACATTCTTTCAATATTTCATCAACATTTAAACAGCATTCCAATAACATTTCAACAACATTTCAACGACATTCCTTCAACATTTCATCAACATTTCAACAACATTCCAATAAAATTTCAACAACATTCCAATAACATTTCAACAACATTCCAATAACATTTCAACAACATTTCAACGACATTCCCTCAACATTTGGTTTGGTGACTATTCTAGTAGATGGTATCTATCTATTTATCTTAAACTGTTCAAATATAGTAATCTTGATTGTACCGCTCTAACTCACTTATGCGTTTCTGTTGCCCTTTACATTTTAGCACTATACAGTATACATTTTAGCCCTATACAGTATACATTTTAGCACTATACACTATACAGCACTTGTTGTTAGCTTTGGTTTCTAAGAAGTAATTGGCAAAACTCTTTTCGATTTTTGATTGAGATCTTGACACCTTTAAATTCCAGTGACTGATGATAACGGATGTTATTTTATAGTTTCCTACTGGGTGTACCTATCCTTTCCACTGTGGAGGCTTTCCACAACATGGATATCAGCATCAGGGTCTTTATGGGAGCTGCTAGAGCTGAAACTGCTCTTGGAGCTACTCGAACTAAAGCTGTTCTTGTGGCTTCCATTGCTAATACTGTTCTTTGGGCTGCTGTTACGTGAGCTACTTTCAGATTCAAAATTGCTATCTGAACCGTAACCGCTTATCTCAGATTTGTCAACAATATCCTACAAAAGGAGAAAATAGGATGGTTTAAAGTATTCTTCATACAGGGTCATTGACATAAAACAAATTAAATGACTCTTGATGAATTTAATCTTTGACACAATTTTCAAAAATGGAATTTATGTTTGATAAATGTTGGCAGCATTAAACTTCGATTTTAGTAAAAGATGCATCAAAATTCCCGTTTTGTGAATAACCTTTATCTTTTTAACAACCGTAAAAGCCTATTTTATTTTTTCAACATTACAAATAAATCTTTGATTTTTATTTCTAAAAGTTTTTATTTATCGTCGAAAAATGCTAACATGCTAATATTCCCGCAACCTCAATTTTTGTTTATAAGAACTAGCAACATTCATCAGAGTTAAGATGACTCATAATCAACAATTGCGCTAAAAATCGTATTTATAAAGAAAAAAGTATTTCCGATTTATTGTAAATTTAAATGTGTACTATATATACTTTATTGTTATATAAAATTTTAGATACAGGGTTTCCCAATAAACATGGGAATTGAGTGACGAATTCGATATCGTCTTTTTAAATAATTCTTTGATTTAGTATAGTGATACCTACTGAGAAAGCTGTAATCTGTTAGAGTTTCGTCTGCTATGTTTACATTTTGTCTGTTTATGTATTGACTGCATAAGGGTGTACTTAGTAAAACAAGAAAATTGCAGTATACAAACAGAGTAAACTTGTCCGTCTTCACCGTCTTCTCTGTTCATCTTGCGGAGACATTATAGATACATCTTTACAGTCTTTTACCCTTTTCATAAAATAAGCTCTAGGAGACATAATAATATTATGGCTTTTGAAATTAGGTATTACAATGATAATTCATAATAAAGACGATATCCAATTCGTCACTGAATTCCCATGTTTTTGGGACACCCTGTAGATATTATAAATGTGTGTAGAATAGATACACAATTTATGATGTTTTTTTGTAAACATTCTTTTTTCTCTACCTTTGATGGTTGATTGTTGTTTTCTTCGGAGTCCAGTCTAAATAATAATAAAAACTAACGATTAGTCCAAATTTTTACTAAAAAGGAATAGAACATAAAAGAAAAAAGGACAAAGCTTTATGTATGTATATGAATATATGTTAAACTTTTATGCGTGCTCATCAGTGCTTAAAAAGAGCGCCAACTTGCTAATAGTATCCAGCTAAAATAAAAATCGTTTCGCAAAACAGATTAATGCAAACTTTCGCATCGTTTTCGCTCCCTTTCCCTAATTACATTTTCGCAAAAATATGAGAAATATGAGAAACAAGTGTACACTTAAACTTGCAGGTCACTTTGAATCTAAGAAAACATACTTTATTGATTCTATTTCAATGTAGTCGCCTTTGAAATCTAATCATTTGTGGGTATTTTTAGTCTTTCAATGTATATCATTCATTATTCATTTCACTAAATACAAAATTGGATCTTGTTGATTAATTAGATTTGTATAAACCTGTATTCGCAAGAGAGAGCATCACAAGCTGGAAACATGTAAAAATCATCAGTCTCGCCGGGTGGGTCAACTTCAGATACATACATCATTTGACCCTAAACATTGGAAGTTTAAACCTCAGACACATACATCATTTAACCCTAAACATTAGAATTTTAAACCTCAGATACAAACATCATTTAACCCTAAACATTAGGAGTTTAAACCTCAGATACAAACATCATTTAGCCCTAAACATTAGAAGTTTAAACCTCAGATACATACATCATTTGACCCTAAACATTAGAAGTTTAAACCTCAGATATATACATCATTTGATCCTAAACATTAGAAGTTTAAACCTCTGATACAAACATCATTTGACCCTAAACATTGGGAGTTTAAACCTCAGATACATACATCATTTAACCCTAAACATTAGAAGTTTAAACCTCAGATACACACATCATTTAACCCTAAACATTGGGAGTTTAAACCTCAGATACATACATCATTTGACCCTAAACATTAGAAGTTTAAACTTCAGATACATACATCATTTGACCCTAAACATTAGGAGTTGCAACCTCAGATACATACATCATTTGACCCTAAACATTAGGAGTTTAAACCTCAGATACATACATCATTTGACCCTAAACATTGGGAGTTTAAACCTCAGATACATACATCATTTGACCATAAACATTAGAAGTTTAAACCTCAGATACATACATCGTTTAACCCTAAACATTAGGAGTTTAAACCTCAGATACATACATCATTTAACCCTAAACATTAGAAGTTTAAACTTCAGATACATACATCATTTGACCCTAAACATTGGGAGTTTAAACCTCAGATACATACATCGTTTAACCCTAAACATTAGAAGTTTAACCTCAGATACAAACATCATTAAACCCTAAACATTAGGAGTTTAAACCTCAGATATATACATTATTTAACCCTAAACAGTCAGATACAAACATCATTAAACCCTAAACATCAAGAGTTTAAACCTCAAAAGCAAACATCATTTGACCCTAAACATTAAAAGTTAAAACCTCAGATATATGCATCAAGGGAGGGTAACCTATGTACCTTAAACTTTAACTGTGTGATAAATATGTAATATGATGGTCTTATTGAATAAAGTTAGTTGATTGAGACTCTGCTTTTAATTACGTTATCAGAAGGCTAAGTAAGCTTAGAAGACAGCTTTGGTTCTCGTTAAAACATACCAGCGGAGTGATTTAGCATTGAATCTATAGTAAACTTGAAAATAGCTCTTTTGGTACTCCTTTAATTATACAAGTTGAGATATTTCCTGTTTGCAATTTCATTGGACTATGTGTCCCTTAGAACCAAGGAGTTAAGCCTGGTTGAGAAATTGCCTATTAGTAATTTCATTGGACTTTGTCTCCTTCAGAACCAGGGAGTTTGGTTGAGAAATTGCCAGTGTAGCAATTTCATTGGACTTTGTGTCCTTCAGAACCAGGGAGTTTGGTTGAGAAATTGCCAGTGTAGCAATTTCATTGGACTATGTGTCCCTTAGAACCAGGGAGTTTAGCCTGGTTGAGAAATTGCCAGTGTAGCAATTTCATTGGACTATGTGTCCTTTAGAACCAGGGAGTTAAGCCTGGTTGAGAAATTGCCAGTGTAGCAATTTCATTGGACTGTGTGTCCCTTAGAACCAAGGAGTTAAGCCTGGTTGAGAAATTTCCAGTGTAGCAATTTCATTGGACTATGTGTCCTTTAGAACCAGGGAGTTTGGTTGAGAAATTGCCAGTGTAGCAATTTCATTGGACTTTGTGTCCTTCAGAACCAGGGAGTTAAGCCTGGTTGAGACTTAGACTGTGTGTCCTTTAGAACCTGGGAGTTAAGCCTGGTTGAGATAGTGCCTTGTTGGCATTTAGAATCGAAGTGTTAGTCCTGGTTGATCTTGGTAACGAGTAGACCTGGATAGATACGTCTCGAGTAAATTTTTATGGAGTAGGTATTTTCTACACAATGCTATTTGTGCATTTGTATTAAAAAAATTGAATATTTGCCACAAACTCTGATTTTCTAATCCCATGTCTTAGCAATTCGATGTCGTAGACATAGGATTAAAACTATGAATTCTGTTAGATTAAATAATCTAAATTGGAAATTTGAATGGTAGTTTACACTATCAGGTTGCAAACATATATGAATTAGAACATTTGGGTTTGTGGCAAAGACTCAATTCCTGTAAGCATACCTGATCTAGACTGAGAGAAGCTAGAAGAGCTCCGTAAGGTTCCCGCCATTTTAAATTTATATTCTTTCGTCCTCTGGATGGTACTGTACTGGATACCTTCTCTAGCTGCGGCTAGAACAAAACAAAATACAATTCTGCACTTTTACCCTCTAGTTTGTTTTGTCCCAGCTAGGGTTTCCAATCGGAATTCCATTGCGCGGAATTGGGCGCCAATGCACGCAATTGTGAGGAATTGCTCGCAACTATTCTCGTATTGCTCGGAATTACACGGAATTGCGAGTTAATTACATGGCCTGCAATTGCGCGCAAGTAAATTCCACCTTGAAATTTTTTGACTTTTAAGAATTTTTTTGTAAGCATTTTTTAATGCATATGGTAGAATACGGGGCGGTTAACAGTCCAGTTCGTGTTTAGAAAAAATCTAAAATAGCCCATAACTTTTTTGTGACTAAATCTACAGATCTAAAAACCTACATTATTGAAAGGCCATAAACCTTTACTCTAAAAACTTTCTTAGGGGTGGGGGCTTTCAACGCTCTCTCCCTGCTTTTATATCTAGAGATTCAGACCCCCTGGCCAGTCTTTATAGAGTTAAAAAGCATCAAAACTTTTGCGCAATGATTCCCGTAACCAAGAAGTTATCCATTTAATTCTAGAATCAATTTCTCTTGATCCATGCAGGGTCAAACCATAGATTAATAAAAATACAGATAGAACATTAGATGTCGTCTTTTCAAGGTTTAGGGGTTTTTAGTTCTCAATAACCCTAAGAAAGACGCCCAAAAGAGTTTCGCGCATGTTCTTTCTCTGTTTTTTCATTCAACGCGGCATGCGCGTAACTCCTTTGGGCCTCTACTTCAGGGTTATTCTGAACGAAAAATCCTAAATCTTTAAAATACGACATCTAGTGTTCTATCTGTATTGTTGTTAATCTATGGTCGAAACCCTAGCAAAGATTACTTGAGATATCAAGCACAAATTTTTTAAATTTATATTTGCTTTTAATCTTATTTAAAATAACAACAATATTTTCTCAAAATGAGGAAAACTTCTTATATTTCAAGATGAAGATGAAGTTACCTTGAAAATCTGTCGAAACGAGGAGTCAAACAGAGATAGAATCCTGAGGGAGGCCCATAACCCCTGTAAAGAATATATATTTTATTTATATATATACATATATATATATATATATATATGTAAAAAGGAAACAGAAAACCGATGTATTATCAACTATTCAGAAGATAAGATAAGATATAAGATATAGTTTATTGCTAAAAATACACATACCAGTTATAATGTTACAGGCAAAAAATCTGCAACTAATTTTATATTGTTTATTATATGTATATGTATATTATAGCAATTAGGTGGATTAGCTATTTGCTGCGTTTTGGGTATTATCCCCACCTAATTAATATTTAAACCTTTACAATTTTGTGGATATTACTAGATTCTGAAAGTTTACAATTAGTCAGGGATTACTAGTTAAATTTAGAGAGACCGAGGTGCAGCATAACAAAATAATTAATTTTTCAGTTTCAAAGTTTAGTACGTATAACAGAATAAGATTAAGCATGTACGAACATCTACAAAGTTCTATATTCATTTTTTGCAAGAATAACAAGAGGGTTTATTGCACTTTGCGATGCAGGAGTCAGTTGACATTTCAAATAAACTTTTTTAATATGCCTAACAAGGCACTTCTTTTTAAATCAAGTGGCAGGTTCTTCCATATCTTAAGAAGTGCAGATGAGGAAAAACATTCGAATGAGCCTGTATTTAGAATGTCATTTTTATAGTCAAGAGATTTTTCAAAAGTTTTTTAAAAGTGTTGTTAAATAAAGGGTAGAAGGTTTTTCATGTATTTATAAATAAATGTTGCTTGATTAAATTCAGTCAAATCATTTAACTTAAGGATTTAACAGCCGAAGACTAAATCCACTGCTCTATTTTAAAATTTTGTTATAATTCAAATTCAAAAATAAATGTTAAAAAAGTAAATATAATTTTATGCATACATACAGATATACATTTCTGCTATGATAAAATAATAATTTGATAATAAACATATTTTTTTAAATTAAAACTTTTTCAAGGCAACAGTTTTTTTTCGACCATTCAGTCGTTTTGACGTTTTTATTATAAAAACAAACAAAAAAAGTTAAAAATCATTTTACCATTCCTTTACCTTTGTTTCTGTCAATATATTGAGTAGAAGTCTCATATCTGTACTCTTAAAATATATTGAATTGATGGTTGAAGGGAATGGTTTCATATCCTGTTGACATCTAAACAAAAAATAACATATTTTTTTCGAATTTAAAAACATATAAAAGTCTACTTGTACAAAATGTTAGAAGTGTGAATAACAGAAAAACTGAAATGTGCAAATTCACTTGAAGTGCGTCTGTGCGAAAATTGTGGAATTTTTTTTTTTACTTTTACAATCTCCATCTTTTTGTCTGAGGCTTTCCAAAATTTTGAAATCCAATAACTGGAAAAACAAATTTTAATCTCTTTTAGGTACCTTCTGCCAGTGTGCCAGAGGTCAATGCCCGATTCACAACGGTACCCATTAAACATATGTGTACTTGTCGAGTAAAGATATTAACTTAAACGTGAACAAGCGGGTTTCGATAAGTTTAAACACAAATATCTCTCTACTCGACGGACACACAAATATTTCAAGGATACCGTTGAAAATCGGACATTGCCCTCTTTGCCTGGAGGGTCACATAAAATTACACTTACAGTCCCTTCAAAGTCCAGCTTTAGTTAATTTGTTAATTAGAAAAGTAAAAAAAATACCAGCTTCAGAATTTTAATTTTTAGTAATGCCCCTCTAGGGGGGGGGGGGGGGTTAGCCTATGGACACCCTGTTAAACTAGGAATAATACTTACTTGTTGAGGAGACGACTGAGTTTTGTATTTGCAACCATACCGTAGCAATGATCTGGCATATATATTCGTACATACCAGACCAAAGTACCAAACGAACTGCAATAGTTGTAAAGTTTTTTTATGTACCAATAAAATGGAACTGATAAAGTTTCAATTAATTTGGATTTAAAGTATTACTTGCAATTACGTTGGTTATTCTTTAAAAAAATATCTAAAAATGATTTTTCACATATTTGAAACTTGAGCAAATTTTAATTTTGAAATGAATTTACAATCATTCCTAATTAGAATCAGCATCATTAGACCATTTACTAAATTAAACACATTTTCTAATCTGTTACAACAATTTTCTTTTTGCCTTCCCCAATTTACCCCCTCCCCCCCCCCCAGAGTTTTGTTAACTTAAAAGAGGACATAAAAATATATCAAATTATTCTCAACCCTGAGTTTTTCTATTCACCTTTCCCCCAGTATGGACAATTCACAGTTTTAGTCATTCAGTTTTAATAACTTAAATCATTTTTATAATATTTTTTTTTCTTAATAATATTACATAGAAAATTGCTCAAGGGGCTGATGAAGTATTATTGTACTTTTAAAGGGCAATTGATCAAAGATATGAGTGTATTCTTTTAACGAAACAAGACTGCTATGAAAAATTGCATCAATTTTCAAGATTGGGTCACCTTAAAAATATCACCTTGTCTTGGCCTTAGATTTGAACTTACTGCAGTAATCAGTAATTACATAAACTTAGATTTGAACTCACTGCAGTAATTAGTAAGTATAAACTTTTTGTAGCTAGACATGAAGTACTTGTTTTTAACTTTAGAAGTTCGGAATAAATTAAAAATTTAAATTTATTGCGTTGATTCGGAAGTCTTGGTTCATCATGAGTAAGCCTGTACTTTCGAGTCCAAAACATATATAATTCATTAAATTCTTTTTCAGTAAGTCTGAACTAAATCTTGGACAAGGGACTGTAATATTTATCACTTTTAAGAAAATATTAAAAATGTTTTTTCCTAGTTCAAAGATTATCTCATTCAAATCATTGGCAGGTATTGTACATTGGTGCATGTACCCTTGCATACGGCTGTACATAAACAGGTGTTGTTTGAAAACATAAATATATAATTGAAGGAAACCAGATTTACTTAACAGCAAGAGGTAGTTCAACCACTTAAGTTGAACCGAATTAAATAAATTTGAGTTACGTTGCTGAAATACCTATTGCAGGTTCAAACAAATTTGAATCACCAATTTCATGAAGGATTTTAATCTGCGATTTAAATTTAAAAGAATGCAAATAAAAAATCATACATTTTTTCCATCACTTGTTAATAAAGTTTTGAAGTCACTTAGTTAACTTAAATGATTCAGAACGTAATAAAGCAACGTAGTCCTTTAACAACGTATAATTAAAAAAAAATATAAATTTCCCAATTTCACTGATTGCTCGTTTCATAATCTTTATTTTCTAATCTTCATAGACCTTTGATACTTTGTACAAATGGCCAAAGTTTGAAATATCAAAGGTGTCTACACCATTAGGCTGCAAAAATATAGGGATTCCAGCGTTATAGTTTTTGACGAGTTATTAGTATCAGAATCAGTATCAGTTTATCAGTATCAGTATTGCAGTATATACAGTGTCAGTATCAGTATCAGTATCAGTATATCATCAGTATCAGTATCAACAAAATATCTGTTTTCACACAATTCCTGTTGAAGTTTGATTTAAAGCTCTGTCTTACTCTCAAAGGGCTTGCTGAAAAAAAGTTTGACCATTTTTATTTTATTCAACCATTTTTTTTACAATGCAAATGTATGATAAAGCCACAAATATTTAGGGGAAAATATACTACAAAAATTTCCTTTTAAATGAGTGATTTATAATAAACAAAATAGCTTTAGAATTTTCTAGATTATTAATTCAAAGAAATTAAATCCTTGACTTAAACTCTGGTCCCTATATTTTTGCAACCAGATGGTGTAAAACTTTAACATTTCACAATTGACAATTTGACCCAGAAAATTTCATATATTTAAATCTTAAAGGTCTTCCATATGAGGTTGCAAAAATATAAGTATAAATAATTCGAGTTTTGTGCAAGTAATCTTAACGATGAAATTGGGGCATAGAGTTTATCACTTGGTAAATTAGTAATATTAATGATAAAGTTTATCACTTGGTAGATTAATAAGATAAAATAATAAGATAAGATGTCTCACCGAAGCTCCAAGCGACTACGGCAGCAGCTATTAACAGCTTTCCTAGGGTCTAAATTGTAACAGAGTTAAAGGGACTGTAAACATAATGTCAAGTGACCCTAAATGCAAAGATAGCAATACCAATTAAAAACGTTGACTGTTCAAGTATGAATTAGATATTTATGTTTAATTTATTTAATCAGAGCTGGGAACTTTAGAATGGTAAATATCGGGATTAATGCTTGATCCACTCTTTTTCTTAATCTCCAGATTAAATATTGCTTGTTTTCCTCATGAATTCAATCTCCAGATTAATTAACAGATCGGGAAATCTCATTGTAAAGTTTTCAGCTCAGAGCTGAAAACTTTACAATGAGATATCCTTAATCCTGATAGCTTAATCTGATTATCCAATGTACGCACTTTTCATTTTTTTCTTATAATCCTCTTTTTGGATATTTGATTTTAAAGATCATCTGGGGGAAAAAATATAAAAGGCAAGCCCTGTCATGCTTTATTTTACGTTTTATCCAAACTAATTTCCCATTAAAATGTGTTCTTTTCTCCCCTAATTCAGACAATAAACCCTTAAAATGTGTTCTTTTCTCCCCTAATTCAGCCAATAATCCCCTAAAATGTGTCTTTTCTCCCCAATTCAGCCAATAAACCCCTAAAATTTGTATTTTTCTCCCCAATTCAGCCAATAAACCCCTAAAATTTGTACTTTTCTCCCCAATTCAGCGAATAAACCCCTAAAATTTGTTCTTTTCTCCCAATTCAGCCAATAAACCCCTAAAATTTGTTCTTTTCTCCTCAATTCAGCTGCAATAAACCCCTAAAATGTGTTCTTTTCTCCCCAATTCAACCAACAAACCCCTAAAATGTGTCCTTTTCTCCTTCAATTCAGCCAATAAACCCCTAAAATATGTTCTTTTCTCCCCAATTCAGCCAATAAACCCCAAAGTGTGTTCTTTTCTCCCCCAATTAAGCCAATAAACCCCTAAAATGTGTTCTTTTCTCCCCCAATTCAGCCAATAAACCCCTAAAATGTGTTCTTTTCTCCCCCAATTCAGCCAATAAACCCCTAAAATGTGTTCTTTTCTCCCCAATTCAACCAACAAATCCCTAAAATGTGTTCTTTTCTCCCCAATTCAACCAATAAATCCCTAAAATGTGTACTTTTCTCCCCAATTAAACCAATAAACTCCCAAAAATAAAAACCATTTTCAAGAGGGAGGATGATTATTCAATAAAATATACACCCTTGACTAAACTTGTCCCACCTGGCACATATAAGCTCTGTAGTGGATATTACTGTCTCTAAAATCATAAAGAATCTGTTGACAAGCTAATCTGTTCTCCCGAGTATACAGGGTGGAACAATTAACACCCTCCTACACCACAATATTTTTCAAACATATATCTAAAGTAGATTAGGTACCCGGCGTTGCCCGTAGAATTTTTTTTAAGCGAATTGAAAAAAATATTTTGAAAAAATGTCAAAATTTTTTTAACCTATGTTACTCAAACTTAGTAAGAATGCATCGTGTAAACGTTTTGTATGTCTCAAATGAATCCTAAATAATTTGTCCACAACACTGCATACTCAGTTTAACTACCTTTCATAGCCGGTCTGTCCCTTTAAAAAAAGGAATTATGATTAATTCGTCGGACTGGGTTGTAACAAACTAATTAATACAGTTTTAATCTTGTAATCTTTAAAAAGTTTAAATTAAATTAAAAAACTGTTTTCACAATTAACTATTTTTGTTTATAGAGCTAAACCATATTTTTAGATTTTATGTTTAAAAAAAATATATTATTTTCTTTAAAATTTTTTTTTTAATTTTGAAAGTTTGTTTAATATTTTCCCTTTATGGATTGTTTCACAAGTAGATTGTAGAATTTTTCTATTCTCTGACCAGTCCAGAAAAATCTAGAAAACCAAATTAAATCATTTCGAAAACCAAATAAAATAATCATGCAATGGCAGAATCAAATATTAGAATCTTGTTTAAATATTGCAAAACAAACAGAAACTTTCATAAATTTTGCAAAAATTATCACAATTTTTTACTTTTTTTTTGACACTTTTATCAAATATTGTAAGTTGAGTACATAATATGGATAATATTAAGAACAAATGTATTTTTTTGCTAAAATAATTTATAATAGTTTTTAATGAGTTAAATTATTATCATTATTATCACTCTTACATAAAAATTCAAAATAAAATCTAGAAAAAAATGCCTTTTCAGGGAGATCGTAAAAGTTTTGTATCGATTTTTTGTTTGTCTAGTTACTAGCTGTAAATTTATTAATGCATTTAAAAGTGGGAATTATTGAATTCTGCAAATTATGAACCATCAATGGGCTCACGGCTCAGGGCGTGAAGAACCAATTGGATGCCAGAAAAGGAACTGAATTTTTGTCACAAACTTAAATTTTCTACTCCCTATATCTATGCAACCTTATAGTACAAAACTTTGATATTTCTAATTCACTTATATTTTTATATGTGATATTTGATCTAACAGAATCCATAATTTTTAAATATCAAAGTTTTACACTGTCAGGGTGCAAAGATATAAAATAAATTGTCAGCCATCCATCTGATACTACAAAATAAGCGTTTTTTCGATTAGAATGTTTAATTACCTTGTTAGTAATCTCTCTAGAAGGATCATAGACAGCGCCAAACCAAATATAAGATAGGGCAGGTACAAAACCAACCAAGATAACTAAACCAAATATAAAATAGGGCAGGTACAAAACTAACCAAGATAACTAAACAAAATATGAGAAAGGGCAGGTACAAAACCAACCAAGATAACTAAACCAAATATAAGATAGGCCAGGTACAAAACCAACCAAGATACCTTAAACCAAATATAAGATAGGGCAGGTACAAAACCAACCAAAATAACTAAACAAAAAATTCTCTAATTTACATATGATTATAATTAAATTTTAGCTTAAATAGTTATTATAAAATTCGCGAAATTTTAGGAAGCGTAAAAGAATCTATGAAAATATGATGTTCCAGACCGAAATACAGTATCCTGGCGATTATCTTACGCCTGGGCGCTTTTTAGCGTGACACCGGTGTTACGTATTGTACTCCCAAGCACATATTATAGTTCTGAACATATTTCAGAAATATTAAAATCCACGAAATGGAAAGAAACCTGGTGTTTCCTTGACATATACTAAATGACACTTATTACACTAAATTACAGTTATTAACTTATTATACATTAAATAACACTCATTTCATTTTATCGACTTATTCTAATGAACTTAATTTTATGCAGTTTAAATATCAAATACCAGCTAAATAAAGCGCCGTATTTACGACCTCAATATCATATCTTTGAAGAAAAAAAAACCTGGGCGCTTAAAATTTAAGCATATTTTAAGTGAAAAAAGTTCAAAATTTGACAATTGTATCTGATTCATACTTTTTTTAAACAAAAAGGGAATTTTATTCAATATTTTATTGGTTTTTTTTTTACTTTACCTGATTAACACTATTCCAGTAAACATGAAAGGGAAAATGGTTCGGTGCTTCCTAAAATTATTGGATTGAGTAAAAATACCAAAGGAATTTAGTCTTTGGAACAAAATCAAATGTTTAAACCCTAATATCTTTGAACCCGATCTTGTAAACTTTTGATATTTCAAACTCAGATTATTTCATTTAAAAGAATTCATAGTTTGAAATATCTAAGGTCTACAACATTTGGTTCCAAAGATATAGTGATTAGAAAATCAGAGTTTGTGACAAAGACTCAATTCCTTTTCTGAGAATCGTATAATTATATTATTAATTTTGATCAATTGAGGAATTTTAAGTATAACTTCTGTAGGAATGGAAAAATTTTAAAAGTTAATTTTTCTAAATTTAAAAATTTTCAAACCCCGCTTCCAACCTGTACGAATATTGAGAAAACTCTGTTTGAAGCTAACCTTCAACAGTTGTTGAGTCAGACATTACAGAAAACCGAAATACATCTGATATCTCCTCACAAACAGTAACTTTCTATTATACTTATTTTGATATTTCTGGCGCCAAGATAGTATGAATCAGAAATATGTGTCAAAATGCATTTTCCCTTGTCTACAAGAGATTAGAATGCGTAGATCTAAAAGAGAAGAGCAGAAAACAGGTGTATGATCAGATAAAAAGAAGATAAAACGGTCACAGAAAAAAAATTCCCTTCTCTTTTTGAATCTAGAAAAATTTTGATTTAAAAATAAATTCTAAAAAAAAGTCTTTAATAAATCCAATGCCTTGACATAACAGCCAGCCGAGTTTCTTTTCAGATTTTTAGGCAAATATTCATCGTCTTCCAGAAGCCTAAAAATATAACATTTACAGTTGGATCAATCCTAGCACATGCAAGTACAGAATGTGTAGAGGTGAGGCTGCAATAACAATTAAGCAAAACAAACAAAAACAGAAAGGGACATATAATCAATGAAAGGGTGATCGTGCACTGTCTTATAATGGCGCAAAGACAGCGACTCGTAAACATTCTTTCAAAAGCAGCACCATAAATAGACGGGCAAAGGGAAGCAAAAAAAACAGAACCTGCAGATGGAGAAAGGAGAAAAAGATGAACATTTGAAAATATTTAGTATGCCTCGTACCATTTTATTTTATAAAAATTAGAAGAAAAAAAAACACTTGTAAAAAACAGTTGAAACATTGTACTGTTTATCCCAGTACTTTAAAGATGAAATACCAATGTTCTAAAACCCCAAACAGACTAAAGTAAAAGTTTGAGAGTAAAACAAACAGATTAAAATCATAAAGAAATATTTTCTTGTTGAAAATTATCATTTTGGTTCGCGGTATTTTAAAAGTATTTTGTTGTTTAAATTGTTAGGGAAAAATGTTATAACGGAAATATTATTATCATTATTATTGATGAATGGGGTAAAGGATCGAATTGTTACCAAGTTTGTTTTTGCAATAAACATGTATCTCCCAAGTGATATCTCTGAAATATTTAGAAATAGAGACACAGTGGCAAAAAATTAGTCATCCATTGTATATCGTAAATAAATTTTTACGAATGCACCAAATTCGAGATCCGCCTTTACCCCATTTCATTTTTCGCGAACACTCCCTTTACAAAAATACCTATGAAATATCTCGGGGATTTCAGTCATGTTTAGGAGAATAAAGTTTCCGTGAAGAAAAGCCTGAATAAATAATTATAGAATAAAGGAACTGAGTTTTTGCCACAAACCTGGATTTTCTAATCCCAATATTTTTGCAATTCAATGTCGGAGACCTTTGATATTTCAAACTATGAATTCTTTTAGATCCCATAATGATAGTTTGAAATATTGAAGGTTTACACCATCAGGTTGCAAAGATATAGGGATTAGAAAATCAGAATTTGTGGCAAAAACTCAGTTCCTTTAACTATTTTTTTTAAGAAACTTATTTTTTATTTATGATAATTGCTCACATAAAACGGTTTAAAATACAATAACAGGCAGCAGAGCTAAACAAAAATATGAAATAAACGTTTTTTGGAATACATTACACTTTTGTTGCTTTGAAAGTTAAAACTCATGATTTTGTAAAATAAAGAAAAAGTTTCTAAATATTGGATAAAGCTTTTTCCGTTTTTTAACATTTAACTTTTTTTGTGCTGTTCATGACTCCTTTAAAACTCTAAGAAATTCCTGCAAATGTTTAAAAAGTATGCTTTCAGCGAAACATTGACTCTTCATGACAAAGATATAATGTCTGAAGAGTTTTTCAAACCGTTTTTTATTTGAAATTAGTGTTTTTCCTAAATGATAACTTCGGAATTATGACAATGAATGAAATTATCAGAATTCAACAGGTTCTCTGATAGAAAAATGACGATATCTTTCTCTTTGTTGTATTGATAAAAGTGTACAATTGAGAATCGAGCATACCACCCTGTAAATAAAATTATGTTTACAGTCCAAACAGAAGATTACTACCTGGGTAATTTCTTGCGTTTCGTTGATATCTCTGATAGTTTTATTGTAGACATGCTGTTTCTCTAACACGAGCTAAACAAGACATTGAAACTTCTTTTTAAATCAAAAAAAGGTAAAATCTTTTATATCTTATAAATCATGATAAATATTAACATTTATTGTAATTGGTTTTAAACATCTAATTAGTACAATTTTAAACAGAGTCACATCCAACTAAAGCAAAATTCCCTAAGATTGTAATTGTAGAGGAGCTAGATTGTTGTCTTCCACTTCCGGACCAAGCAACCAAACCAAATATAGATATAAGGTATAAAATCCCATTTTGTAACTTAAATTTCAATATATATGCATTCCCTTTATATGACTTTTTCTTTGCATTGCTACATTTTGGTGACCCCAAAGTGATGACTGACGGCTATACATTTATATAATTGACCTTTTAGATGCTTCAACCCGACGTTTCCTTGCCTGGTAAACCTAGTAAACATTTAGAACTCTATTCTGCGCTGCTAACAACCAAAGAGTAGTTTAGAGATATTTCAGCTCAGTATCCAGATGTAATCTCTTCTAAAGGGTTTAGTGCTGCTGTTCCTAAGCATCTGGTTCGTCATTCTGTTCCAACTACTCCTGGACCACCAGTTTTTGCTAAAGCCAGAAGGTTGGACACTGAGAAGCTTGAGTCTACCAGGACGAAGTTCCTGCTATGGGAGGGGCAGGTGTTAATCATTGCTCAAACACTCCTTGGGTCAGCCCCCCTACACATGGTACAAAAGCCTGATGGTTCCTGGTGCCCTTGCAGTGATTATTGCTGTTAAAACACAATGACAGTTCCAGATAGATATCCACTCCCCAACATGGCCAATTTTACTTCTTGTCTCAACTGCTGATATGTGTTTACTAAGTTTACCAAGGGTTATTATCAAGTTCAGATGGCCAAAGGTAACATTTCAAGACGGCATTGATTACTCTGTTTGGTCTCTTCAAGTGGATCAGGATGCCATTAGGTTAGAGGAATGCTGGTTGTACTTTTCAGAGGATGATGGACCAGATTCCCCACTGTTTTGTGTATGTTGATTATGTGCTCATAGCCAATCCTGACTCAGAGTCACACCTCCTTCATGTCTGCCAATTTATTGACCTACTGCGCCTCTATGGCCTCTCAACCCTGCGATGTGTGAATTAGCTAAACCAGAGGTTGAATATCTTGATATAGTGTCCAACAAGGGATGTCTTCCTCTCCAGAAGCATTCTGACATCATTTCTGCTTTCCCTCTACCTGCTTCTTGATATCCTCAACTTCTACAGGAGATTTATCAAGACTGCTGCAGGGATTCTTGCTTCACTGACTGAAGCATTGAAAGTGAAGGTTTCAGCTCTCTCCTGGACTTTGGAAATGAACCAGGCTTTCTCCCCCGCCAAGTCTGTTCTCTCTGATCTTCCAACCCTTTTGCACCCAAATACTTCAGCCAAGGTTTACCTCTCTGTGGATGCCTCTGGTTCTTCTCACATCGGAGTGGTTCTTCAACAAGATCTTGTAGGCTCTTGAGCTCCTCTGGCTTTCTACTCTAAGAAGCTTTCCAGATAGTCGGCCTTCGAATGGGAGCTTTTTGCAGCTTACTCCACTCTCTGCAAATTTTTGTTTCCTCCTAGTATGATCATAAACCTCTAACACATGCCTTGTTTAGGTTTTCTCCGCAATGGTCTGCCATGCACCAAGGCTGGCTGTCTTTCTTCTCAGAGTTCAACTGTGATACTTGCCATCTACTTGATGCAGAGAATGTGGTAGCTGATGCCTTATCTTGTCCTGGTCCTGATCCAAATATAGCTGAGGTTCTATCAACGCTGTCTTTGCCAATCTTCCGCCCTGAAGATTGTCTCTGTTTCTGACTCGCCTGGGTTACTTTGTGATGTCTCTACAGGTGTCTACCCTCCCCTAGTTCCAGAGCCTATGTGATGAGCAGTGTTAAACTCCATCCACCAAATTTCTCATACTGGTAAAGGTGCTTCCCGGAGACTGGTGTCCCTGAGTTTTGACTGAGAGTTCCTAGCAAAGGATGTAAACCATTCAATCTTTCCTCAACTGCCAACAGAGTAAGGTCAAGAGTCATGTGAAGTCACCAGTTTGCCTTATTCAGGTGCCTGAATGGAGGTTCTCTCATATTCATGTGAATTGGTTGTCCCTCTTCCTCAATCCAATGGGTTCTCCTACCTCTTCACCATCATTGAACATTCAACCAGATGGCCAGAGGCAATTCCTCTTCACTAAACTACAACAGAAGATTGTGCTAATGCCTTTCCACACTCGTTGATTCCTCTGTTCAGACTTGACTTACTGGGTCTGATTGGTTCCATCATCTTCCTCTAGTTCTACTTGGCCTGCAAAGTTTTCCCAGTGAAGATTGGTCAATTTCTCCTTTACCTCTGGCACCAAGTCTTCATACACATCTTTTGAAAAAATCTGATTTTGTAACTTAGATTTCAATAAATATATACATTTTATTTATTTGTCTCGTTCTTTGAGTAGCTACAATATCATAAATATTTTTTTATCATAACTCCTCTTTTTCAACAAAAAGGTTTGAATTCATGTTATGTAACAAAATAAATTTGTTTTTTTTATAAATTCATAAATTCAGAATTTTTAGAGGAGTAACAGAGTCACAGTTACAATAATTTGAAATTGACCTCCTCCTCCTGGATAGTTTCCACTGGATCGTATACATTTTTTGGTTTTGATAAAAATTTTTAATACATATATATATGTATATATATTCCATATTTTCAAGTATTGTATGTTTGATGAGAAAATATTCAAATTGGATTTTAATAATTTATGAAGGCTAAACAGGGCCCAATCTTATGCTAATATTTATACTGCTCTAGTTCTAGAAAACTCATGAAACATTTTAACTCAATTATCAAATATACATTTAATAGAGGGGGGGGGAGGTTATGGTGATAGGTGGAGAAGGGGGTTAAATTAAAGTAAGAATGTAAGATAAAGGAATGGAGGGAGTATATTTGAAGAAGGTAAAGAAGTTGGGGGAGTATCATTAAAGAAGGTAAAGGAATGAGGGAGTATATTTAGATTAGGTAAAAGAATGTGGGGACTACATTTAGATAAGGTAAAGGAATGGGGGGAGTGTATTGTAGAAGATAAATGAATTGGGGGAGTATATATTTGTAGAAGGTGAAGGAGGGTGGATTTTTTTTAAAGAAGATTAAGGAATGGGGAGGAGTATATTTGAAGAATCTAAAAGAATGGGGAGAGTTTAAATAGGACGAAAAATGAGAGTGTATATTTGAAGTTAATAAAAGAATGAAGAATGTGAGTGGATGGGGGTATATTTAAACATAATAGAATAAAGGGAGTCAAACTTTATAGAAAGTAGAAACCGAACTTTAAGAAATGCTAGGGTATAGCAACAAGGCGTATTTTGCGGGAGAATATTTTTGAGAAATTAAATTGTTAGTGTAGAGTAAATATCATTTTCTTAAAATCCTTTTACTGAAATGGTAAAACAGAATTTTATTTGCCTTTCCTGAGAACTTTTTTTAATATTTTTAAGAATTTTTTTTTTTAAAAATAAAACTGTTCACATCATTTTCATACATTAGTTTTTTTTTAATTGTAACACGCAATTTTATGTAACTATATAAGCATTCATCTATGATTTCAGTACATAATAAAATCTAAACACTAAACAGAGCAGTAAAATGTACTTAATAAGATAGTTAGTAGTATAGTCTAGGGTATGATAAAAGAAATAAAAATAATGATAATGATAATGATAATGATAAGCTACAATGTTTTACAAAAAAGTTTAATTTCTCTAAAATATAAAATATATTCTCCGACTTCGAATAAAGAATAAGATGGGTGAAATATTTAAAAAAAAAAGAATAAAGAATTTGAAGATAATGAAATGAGGAATGGGGTGTGCTAGGGGCCCCCCTGGTTCCTGGTTCCCTTCTATCCTGCAGATATTAAATGAGAGTGAGGTGAGGGTACATAAAAGAATAAGGAATGGGTGTGCTCCAAGGTTACCAAGCATACAGTTTACAGGCAGAGCGATCAGACCTTACAAGTTACAAATATTGTTTATTCAACATTGTTTTGTAATTTTTGTATAATAGATTTTAAGCAGTCTTTATCATTTTCAGAAATATCAAATCCTTGTAAAATCTTACAATTGTATTTTATAAAAGATTTTTGTATTTATATTTAATTTTTTACAAAAGGTTTCCGCCAGCTCCATTTAAGATGGTTATCTATCTATAGATTACTTGTCTGTTTGTTTGTCCGTTTGTATCCAATTAACGTCAAAACGGTTGAACCGATCGGGCCCAAATTTTGTGTGGGACCTTATATGGCCCCAAGGGAGGTTTATGGATTTTAAAAATTGGACAATAAATTCCTGAAAAAGAATTTATTTTTTAATTCGACAGAAAAAGTCGACAGAATTTGAAAATGATTTGAAATGGAACAGCAGTTGAAAGCTAAAATTATTTACAGGAAAGGGGGTGCGAAGCGTCCTAAAAGCATATTGAGAACTATATTTTATTTAGTTTATAAAGGTTGTCCCAATAAACATGGAAATTGAGAAACAACTTGATAATTGTCTACGATTTCACGCTAGTACTGTATCAAAATAAGGCTTTTACGTCTTATGAGCTTTCCAAAATGTGGGCTACCTTCTATTTCTTATTTTTTAGTAAATTAATAACTAACTGTAGAAGTCGACGATTAATTCCCATGTTTATTAGGTCATCCTGTACAATTCAATAAAGTTTTCAGAATTGTCAAAAATGTATAACATAATGGACTTTTTCCAACATGGGAACTATATTATTACATTATTATTATTTTTTTATATTTATTACACAAAAAGAAAATTAGTTTTTTATAACAGAAAAATAATGAAATTGCATTTTTCGCTTAAAATATATCGTCTGAACACTTCAGGCAATATAAAACTTTTTAAAAAAATTCTTAACGTTTTGCAGTACTCTACTTACCTAGTGCTAAAAGTGTGTACACCATATAATGTTGTACAGTGACCCACCAGGGCTGAAATACACTTTCAGCTTCAGTACTAGCAATCGCCTTAGTTATTACATCCCTTCCTACCAAAAATAGTAAAATAATCTGAATGGTAACAATTTTGATACGGCTATCAATATTAATATGATAATTAACATGATAATATTATAATGGTGGTAATAGGGTTTCCAATCGCAAAACTTTTGCGCAATTTTTGCGGAACGAAACGCAAAATTTTTTTTTCTTTGCGCATCAGTTTTGCGCGAAAAAACAACAATTTGCACAATCATTCGCAAAAGTCATTTCAAGCAAACTTGCTCTATTCCGCTTTTGCGAAACTCAAGTTTTGCGCAATTCCGCAACTAGAGTTTTGCGCAATTCCGCAATTTCGTAAAAATCAAACGGTTGGTGACAGTGTGTGTGTTTCTTAGAATTCAATTCTGGAAAAATCTTGTTTTGGAATGTCTTCCTATTGGTCACTTTTACATAATTGACCAACAGTTAAGAACAATTTTAGTTTTGGACATGCATATTTCCTAAAAGTGGATTCTTCAGGCATTGGTTACTTTCTTGCATTATTTTATATGAGATTAAAAAGATTTCAGAGATTAAAAAAATTTAAGAATATAATTCATACTTGATTAGGCAAAGCTTTTAAGGGTCACTTGAAATTATTTAATAGGATTAAAATATTGCCAAGTTTCTCTAATTTCTATTTTATTAATTTTGGTCCCATAATTTAAACTTTTTGTAACTGGAAGTAACCAATTGAGTGTAGTATAATCGTTATCATACTCGTATGTTAATATTTTTTTATGTTTGAAATAAATCTTCAGTTGTTTAATTCTAAGCTTAGAATATCAATTTTTGACAATTTGCCTAAAAAGTTACATTTTGCGTAAAACTTGCGGTTTTGCGCAAATTGCGGAAAAAATATTGCGCAAAACTAAAATTTCGTTTCATGCGCAACTTTCGCAAAAAATTATATTTAAAATTTCAATAAGATTAATTAATTAATTACTCTAAAAATTACATCAATTAAAAGTACGTTGCTTCTGAACTTGAAATATTAGCTGAGATTTCCTCAACTTGATAAAAACAAATAATTAAAATAAAACAACTTAAAGAAGTTCATAATAAGATTTTGATTCTACTGGAGACCACCGGAGGGAATTCATTTTCACTTGAGGGGTTTGAAAAGTCACTTTTTTCAATTTGAAACTTTACGCATGGTGATTTATAATTCCACTGGAGGGATTCAGATATCTTGCCAGGGGGTTTATAATTCCACCACTGGAGGGATTAAGCTATCCTTCCTAGGGGTTTATAATTCCACTGGAGGGATTCAGATATCCTTCCAAGGGGTTTATAGTTCAACTGGAGGGATTCAGATATCCTTCCAAGGGGTTTATAATTCCACTGAAGGGATTCAGATATCTTTCCAGGGGGTTTATAATTCCACTGGAGGCATTCAGATATCCTTCCTAGGGGTTTATAATTCTACTGGAGGGATTCAGATATCTTTCCAAGGGGTTTATAGTTCCACAGGAGGGATTCAGATATCTTTCCAGGGGGTTTATAATTCCACTGAAGGCATTCAGATATCCTTCCTAGGGGTTTATAATTCCACTGGAGGGATTCAGATATCCTTCCAAGGGGTTTATAGCTCCACTGGAGGGATCTAGATATCTTTCCAGGGGGTTTATAATTCCACTGAAGGCATTCAGATATCCTTCCTAGGGGTTTATAATTCACTGAAGGGTTCAGATATCCTTCCTGGGGGTTCATAATTTCACTGGAGGGATTCAGATATCCTTCTTAGGGATTATAATTGCACTGGAGGGATTTAGATATCCTTCCTAGATATTTGAAAGATATTTGAATCCCTCCAGTGGAATATAAATCACCCTGCCTAAAGTTTTAAATTGTGAAAAGCACTTTTTTCAGACCCCCCCCCCCCCAGTGAAAATGAATTCCCTCCGGTGGTCTCCAGTGGGGTCAAAATCTGACTACGAACTTCCGTGACTCCTAAAACTACCTATATCCATTGTTATTCCTTCTTCGAACTGTATTCAGCTGGTTTTATATTTTTCACTTTGTCTGATCTAAACAATCTACACATTTTAATATTTCAATACACTGGTCAGACTCAGAGCACGGAAACTGACATGTCTTGAAAAGTGCGCACTCTTATATCAGGCTCTTTAATCGCGCGCCTAACATTCATATAATTAGTATACAGCTTGGAAAGAACAAGATACAGGGTATGACCAGCTTGTAATTGATACGGTTATATCCACAATATGTCAATACAATTATTTTCAAGGTATATTTTTAGCTCATACTTGCTTAGATACAGGTATTCTAATCAAACATAAGATACAGGTGTTCTAATCAAACCTGAGATCTTTAATTTACAATTTTCCATGAATAATAATTTTTTTAAGTTTAAAACGTTGATACTTACTTACCTTCTTTAAACTTTTTATAAAGGTTTACCAATATAAGAGATGTATTAGAATTTCCAAATTATCTGAAACATTTGGGGTCCATTAATAATTTTGTTATTCCTTGCATACACAAAAATCTTTAGGAGACGAATTTGTTGTCCCTGCTTTCTTTATCTTTTATTTCTGTTAAATAAAAAGGCGTTTTCAAAAATGTTCCAACGCATCAAAGCTTTGTCTAATAAAGAGATAATGAGATATTTATCTTTGAATTGATCATTTTCTGCGTAAAAGCGGCATGCGGATTTATGCTGCAGAAGCAATGGAGGAAATTGTCATAACAAAACACACACAAAAACAACAATATCTTCCACGTTATTGATCAGATAAAGGCAAAGAGAAAAGAATATATATTAGAGTGGAATTTAGACAATCCCTCGGTATGAATTTTGTCAGTCCCTTTCAGCCTGAAAGGGAGTTAAAAGTGTACAAATCATGTAAATGTTCACAAATTATATGCAGTAGAGTACATTAATATAGTATGTTCCCTAGACTATCTATTTCAATTTAGAATTTGTTAAAGCTGTTAAATAAACTTTTTAAAATGAATTAGGTGAATGAAAAATATCATTTGATTTATAGTTATAACGGAAAATCATCGTTTGTAAAGTGAAATGCATAGAGTCTATGTGAAATGATCATTGGCCAATTATGAAACCAGCCTATTTCATAATTTGGTTTTCTTTTAATATTAATTTTAGATTTTCTATAAAATGATGTTCCAGGGCCCAAAAGGTTTTATAGCACAAATATGTTAAGTACACCTGCAGTGTGGCAACAGTACAACAAAATGGCCGTTTTACACTTTTGTCTAGTAAATTCCACTCTAATATATATTCTATTCTCTTTGGATAAAGGTCTAAATGGTGTAGGGTTATGAAAACGACTGAAGACATAACAATGACATTCTCTTTTTCAGTAGCTCTCACACCCAAGGTCTACAAAGAGAATTCTTGTCTGCAATATCATTCCAATTTTTAAATTTTTTGAGGCACATTATCAAGAGTGATTTGTTCATTACACGGTTTTACAACCAAAATAAAAATCTTCTTTTATTTGTTTGGGTATTTGCTTTCGCCATGCATTAACCAGATTAAAACCGTAAGTTATGAGTTTAAACTAACTCTTTTTCGATCTAAGAGGCTTATTTTACAAAAAAAAATCTTAAATCATGCTTTAAGATATTAATAAACCCAAAGGAATAGAAATCTAAATAGCTATAGGCTCTTCAATAAACAGTCTTTCATGAATAAGTGTGATCGTATCAGTCAAAATTGTAATCAAAGAAACTCATAAAATTTGGAAAAAAAATTTAAATTTAAAATTCTCCGTTTTTCACTTTTATCTTTATTTTTTTTATTTGAGCCTAATATTTCCCCTCCCTTCAACCTTTGAAAATGTACTTTTTGTATCGATTGCATCTGCAGATTTCTTTTGTATATTTGTCCATGGAAAAGGGGAGGACCGGGAAGGGGGATTTTGGGTATTTACATGGAAATCAAATCGATAAAATTCGATCATTGCATTTAAAACAAATTGTACCTTCCTGTACCTCCCGAAGATAGGTTTATTAATTTGGATAGAAAAAAATGAGTATTGAAAATTTACTCAATTTCAGTTTATTTATATAAAAACTTGAGCAGCATAATCTTTATTTTTGTCAAAAAATTTAAACCACATTTAGTCCACGTAGGTTGAAGATAATTGAAAAGTCGTCAACAAACTTCTATGCTTATTGGGGAAATGTTTGTATGTGATACATAAAGCTTTTATATTCTTTTTTTTTTAAACATGTTGACACCTTTGTGATAGTTTATAGGCAACTAGGTAAAGAAGCCTTTGGACTGGAACATTTTTAGTTTCTATTTAGTTTTTAGATTTTTGTTTATCATTGCAAATATGAATCATTCTTCAACGCTATTGGTGGAGATATAAACTCCGCTCCCCTATTGGAAGAAACCCCGAGACAAGTGGAGATAAATGGGTTGCTGAGTGAATGGTTTGGTTTGGTTGGGTTGGGTTTTGTAAAGAGTACAGGATTACTTAGCATTTTGTATGCTTTACTTCTTAACAAACTTTATCAATTCAAAAGGGCCTTGCCGGATACCCAAGTGGTGCCCATTAATTAACATTCACCTGATCAATAAAACTTCTGACAATTTTCTCTCTTTTTTCTGTGTTTCCAGTGGCGGACATAAGGGGGGTTATTGGGGTTATTTAAATTAAAAATATTTACCCCCCCTACAGAATCCTTATTTACGCCCCTGTACATCATGATATTTTTCTAGGGGGGGGTAAAAAAATTTCTAGGGGGGGTAAAAAAAATTCGGCGCGCTTCGCGCGTCAAATTAAAAATATTTACCCCCCCTACAGAATCCTTATGTCCGCCCCTGTGTGTTTCCATTTTTCCTTTCCGATTTGTCTATGTCTAAGTGCTTGAAAAGCATGCTTTGAGTTCAATTGATAGAAAAATAAAGAGATTTATAGACATTTCCGCTGAATTTATTTGGAATTTAATACTATACACCCATTTATAAACGCTTATCTGAAAATATTATGTAGATAACCATGTCTTCTTCTAATTATTTACAGGGAAATTAAAGGAATTTTACTTTACCAAGGGTTTCTAAGATTAATTTTGTCTAAAAAAACATCCAGAGCGCAGCAAGGGTGTTTTGTTGACAAAATTTGTGGAGGGAACCCGTACGTGGTTAAGTAAAATTTTAATTTCCCGAAAAAGTTGTTGTACACAATTTTATCGTCACGAACGGAATGCGAGAAAATCCAAAATTATCGGCGAAAACAAAATAATTTTTCGAAAAATGCGAAATTTTCAAGAAACGAAATCCCCATTTTGCTGGAAACACTAGACTTTTAGTCAAATGCTTCAAAGAACAATCCGACCATTTTACTTTCAGCTTAATTTCATTTCAAATATATCAATACAATAAAGACGAATTTGTATTTCAATTTTGATTTCTTCCTAGCTTTTAAACAAAAGAAACATTTACAACACTTAAACAAAGAGAAGTTGTTAATTAGCATCATCTCTTTGTTTACTTGTACATAAACTTTGAATATTTTGAAAAATGCTTGCTAGGAATCAAAGCCTTATTTTTAAAATATCTTTCTTTATTGCATTGATTTCATCACCGACCTTCACCATGTTTATAAATTAAACCGTGACGTAATGCAGACGACTTTTAACAACAATATCTGAGTGTAAGTTTCAAAAGTATTGATCTCGTTTTGTGTTATACATTTAATTTTGTATGTATGGTATGTGTAATCGTATTTTGAATTTATTTTGACCAAAATCATCGATTGTCGCTAATTTTATTTCTATCCGATAACTTTCTAAAGAAATTCTTAAATCCATCGATCCCTCTTACCTCAACCTATCTTTTGTCCATTGAACCTCTAAAACTAGTAAAATCTCTGTAGTCTATGTAGTCTCTGTAGTTTCGAATTCGATATCGTCTTTGTTATGAATTAGCATTGTAATACCTAATTTCAAACGCCATAATATTATTATGTCTACTAGAGTTTATTTTTTGAAAAGGGTAAAAGACTGTAAAGTTTACTCTGTTAGTATAATGTAATTTACTTGTTTTACTAAGTACAACTGTATGCAGTCAAAACATAAACAAACAAAATGTGAGCATAGCAGACGAAACTCTTACAGATTACAGCTTTCTCTGTAGGTATCACTATACTAAATCAAAGAATTATTTTAAAAAAAGACGACATCGAATTCGTCACTGAATTCCCATGTTTATTGGGACACCCTGTAGGTAGACTCTGTAGTTTCTGTAGTTTCTGTAGTCTCTGTAGTCTATATAGTTTCTGTAATCTATGTAGACCCTGTAGTCTCTGTAGTTTCTGTAGTCTCTGTAGTTTTTGTAGTCTATGTAGACTCTTTAATTTCTGTAGTTTATGTAGTCTCTGTAGTTTCTGTATACTCTAAAGTCTCTGTAGTCTATAAAGTCTCTGTAATCTATGTAGACCCTGTAGTCTCTGTAGTTTCTGTAGTTTCTGTAGTCTGTAGTCTATGTAGATTCTGTAGTTTCTGTAGTTTCTGTAGTCTCTGTAGTTTCTGTATACTCTGTAGTCTCTGTAGTTTCTGTAGTCTCTGTAATCTCAGTAGTCTCTGTAGTATCTATAGTCTCTGTAGTCTCTGTAGTCTCTGTAGTCTCTATAGTCTCTGTAGTTTCTTTAATCTCTGTAGTTTCTGTAGTTTCTGTAGTCTCTGTAGTTTCTGTATACTTTGTAGTCTCTGTAGTGTCTGTAGTCTCTGTAATCTCTGTAGTCTCTGTAGACTCTGTAGTTTCTGTATACTCTGTAGTCTCTGTAGTCTCTGTAGTGTCTGTAGTCTCTGTAATCTATGTAGACCCTGTAGTCTCTGTAGTTTCTTTAGTATACTCAGTAGGTTCTGTAGTCTATGTAGACTCTGTAGTCTCTTTGGTCTATGTAGACTCTGTAGTCAAAGTAGTTTCTGTAGTTTCTGCAGTTTCTGTAGTCTATGTAGTTTCTGTAGTCTCTGTAGTCTCTGTAATTTCTGTGGTCTCTGTAGTTTCTGTAGTCTCTGTAGTTTCTTTAGTCTATGTAGTTTCTGTAGTCTATGTAGTTTCTGTAGTTTCTGTAGTCTCTGTAGTTTCTGTTTACTCTGTAGTCTCTGTAGTTTCTGTAGTCTCTGTAGTTTCTGTAGTCTATGTAGTTTCTGTAGTCTCTGTAGTTTCTGTAGTCTCTGTAGTCTCTGTAGTCTCTGTAGTCTTTGTAGACTATGTAGTCCCTGTAATCTATGTAGTGTCTTTAGTCTCTGTAGTCTCTGTAGTCTATGTAGTCTTTGTAGTCTCTGTTGTCTCTGTAGTCTCTGTAGTCTCTTTAGGTTCTGTATTCGTTGCAGTCTCTGTAGTCTTTGTATCCTTTGTAGTCTCTGTAGTCTCTTTAGGTTCTTTAGTCTCTGTAGTCTATGTAAGATAAGATAAGATAAGATAAAGTTTATTGCTAAAATAAATGTATCTGTATACAGATAGAGTTTACAATTACAAATTGATGATTGTATTAACAGTACAAGTATAAAGCAATTAGGTGGAAAATAGCTCTTGGCTGTTTTGATTATTTTTTCCACCTAATTTTAGTAATAATAACAAAATATTTCAATTAAATAGATTTAAGGAGAACGATTAGAGATCAGGGTGCAAATTTATCATATGCAAAATAATTTATACATTAATTCGAATAACTAGAGTTTAAAGTAATTTTCTGACATGTACACAACAAATATCAAAGCATATTAAAACATATCTAAGTAGTTTTACATGAATAGCAATTCGGTTTATAACACATTGTCCTATAATTTTCAAAAAGAGAATTTAGTAGTCTATTTTTAAATATACTTAAGGAGTTAAGAGGCAGGTTATTCCACATCTTAAGAAGAGAGCTTGATGGTAAGTATTGTAATGAGCACATTTTGAGAATGTCAAGTTGATAGTTAAGAGATCTTTCAAAGGTTCCAAGCTTTTTCAATATATTTTCAATAATCTTTTTGTAATCTTTTTAGTGAATGTAGTCTCTGTAGTCTATGTAGTCTCTGTAGTCTTTTTAGTGACTGTAGTCTCTGTAGTCACTGTGTTCTATATAGTCTCTGAAGTTTCTGTAGTCTCTGTAGTCTATATAGTCTCTGTATTCTATATAGTCTCTGTAGTCTCTGTAGTTTCTGTAGTCTCTGTAGTCTCTCCATAGGAGTCTAACAATTCAACCGTACGAGTTAGGACCCAACCTCCTTCAAAATTTTCCACATTCGTCGTTACTAAATATAACCCTCCTAAGTAAACATTAAAAGCTTTTCAATGCTATGGTTTCAATGTAACCAAAAACCAGGGGAGCAAAGTTCCTTTTCTCTCATATACTTAAAACTGATCACATTTTAAAATAAAAATTACAACATTTCTTCCGTAAAAAACGATAATCATGTTGTAAAAAAATAGAGCATAAATTTTCTAAAAGTTAATAAATAAGTTCACCATATCACAATTTTTCTCCGAAACCTTAAAACTAGAGCGCTCAAACTTCTAAACTTCTTCACTTTTTCAACTTTAATATTCATAATTAAACATATATTGCAACAAAAAACTTGCCTAGTGTAGGGTAGAGGAAGGTCATATGGCTGGTTAGAAATCAAAAAAAAGTTCATAAGTTTTTTTATCATTTCAGTAATAGGTCTAATTTTTTTTTGAGCTTTCATATATCTCAACTCATAGGGCAAAAGCATATAGGGGTTGGAACTTGAGGAATCCATAACCCCCCAGTTTTTTGTTTCAAAACGGAAAACAAATTTTTACAGTTTTTTTGTTTTAAAAACGGAAATTTGTTTTTAGTTTTTTTTTTAATTTTAAGTGGAACACAATTTTTTCAGTGTTTTGTTTTTTAGATAATAACTAATCTCTTATATATCTATTGACTGATGACTGATAATTTTTCCACAACAAAAAGACCATTTAATTTTAAAGTTTCTTCCGAGTTTCACAACTTTTTAAATTTAATATTGTAGTGAAGGCGATTATTTCAATATGATAAATACAACTTTTTTATTTAAGTTTTAAATGTTGAAAAGCTTTTTTCAAATTACAATTTTACAAGAAAATAAAATGAAGCCTTTTAAATTTACAGTTTATTTTTGTTTCCATGTTTTTGTGTATTTATGATGTTTAAAATATTAAAAGTTGTCTTCATTTAATTGATATAATCGCCTACTACCATTTTACAAATAAAACTTTTTTTCTATTTCTATTTTTTTAAGATTAGAAAAAAATCAAACGAAATGAGTCATTTACAAACGATAACAAACAAATTGAGGAAAAAAACGAACCACCCATCTCTGGTTACTTGAAATCCCCTCTTCAGTCTCTTAAAAAAATGTTGGTAAATTTGGTAAAACAGCAATTAAAAGTATTTATGTCTCTCAAGAATTCAACACGTAGTAGTGTATTGGGGGGGGGGATTGGGGGGGATTAGTCATTGCCCCCCTCGCCTTCTTTATTGTCTGGTTCTAATGTATAATATTTGTCATTTCTGATAAGACATCAGAATCGAAATAGTTTTCCCCTGATTTCAGAATGTTTAAAATGGTAACTAGGTAAATTTTAGCTTGCCGTTGTTACTTCCCCCGGCCCAGTTCCAGTTAAGTTTGAGCCGGCAGCATGATAAATACACTTTCCTGCATTTTTAAAAGGCATTTATAAGTATACATGGTGTACTTACTATAATTACTATTCTTACTATTCTTCAAAGTCTATCGTTCATGATATCAAAAAATGGGTCTGAAAACACGTTAATTTCACATAAACCAGGCAAAAACTGATTCACGAATGAACTAGATGAACTATGGCAATACATTCAATTGATGTAAAAAATAAAGTTTCCAGCATTTAGCGACATGAGAAACCTCTTTTGAAACATATATTAATAATTTGAAGAAAAAAGTTCAATCCTTACTACTCGATGCATACTATTGTTTACCTTGAAGATTTACTCAATTTTGTTTTCTTCAGAATAATTTTGTAAAAAGATGATACTACTACAGTATCTGTTTCTGGCCTGGTCCCTAATATCCATGGTTTTTGCTGGAAACTTTTACAAGTCCCCTAGCGAGACAACTAGATCAGATAGGTATTGTTTAATACATGTATATTTTAGTCTAATCATTCCCTAGAAGAATTAAGTCAAGCTCAAATTGGCTAATCCCCATATCTATGCAACCTGACAGTGCAAACTTTTGTTATTTCAAACTTTGATTATTCAATTGATTATTGTATTTAACAGAACTCTGCAGTCTTCGACGTTGGATTACAAAGATATAAGGACTAGAAAAACAGAGTTTGAGGCTAAGACTCAATTCTTTGATTTCTCAGCTGAAACAAATCGTTTTCAAAAAAAATTAATTATGGTAATTTTTTCCAAAACTTAGAAAATGTCTAGAATATTGGCTTTTTTTTCAAATCGAATAAACGTAGATTTTTCTTTGACAAAAGCTTTTATATCTAACTAACCAGCAAATTCTTGAAACTTCTTGATAAATAGAATATTTCTGTCCAAAACTGTATAGCGCTACGAAACAAAATATTAAAGATTGGTCATAGCCGTATGTTTATATTATGAATGCATGTGAATTGATATTTTAAAAAAAAATTTGAATATATTTCTTGTTTTTTAATGATCTATTCAGAATTTCTTTTTATAAACGCCGCAGTTTTTTACGAAAAAATCCGCAAAATATCATAATCACTTGAATATCAGTCTCTTACAACGAACGGTTCCCTTAAACCCTGTGCTTGTTGTATTTAGCTGCAAGTTCCAGGGTGGGCTGTATATATTCGATAATTTTTCACATACACATACCTCGGTACTCAACAAATACGTAAAGGTTTAAAGAGCACCGATGTAAAAAGGGTATTAAAATTACCCTTCAACAACAAACTTAATGTTTAGAGCTCTTGATGATTACGATGATAATGTTCAAGAAGACGGTTCTTCAGGTTCTCTTTACAGGTAATATTTGCAGAGTTCTCTGGTTCTCTTTATAGGTAGTTTTTGTGGAGTTCTCTGGTTCCCTTTACAGGTAATATTTGTGGAGTTCTCTGGTTCCCTTTACAGGTAATATTTGTGGTGTTCTCTGGTTCCCTTTACAGGTAATATTTGTAGTTCTCTGGTTCCTTTTACAAATAAAAATTGTAGAGTTCTCTGGTTCTCTTTACAGGGAATATTTGTGGAGTTCTCTGGTTCCCTTTACATGTAAAATATTTGTAGAGTTCTCGGTTCTCTTTAAATGTAATTTGTTGTAGTTAAGAGTTAAAAGTCTTTTTTTACAAGTGATTTATAATATTACAGAAATAATAGTTTCCTTTTAAAGGAAATTTATTGTATTAAAGAGGGAACAGGTTTTGTTTCGCTACTTAGCGATTTCCCTAAAGACCTAATATATATACCGTGCGGTATTTCTCAAGATTGGATTGTAAGCCTTCCTCCTCTCAACGCTCTCCATAACAAAGGATAATAATAAGGTTCCGAACGTTTATTTCTCCAAGACTTCAATCTAAATAAGTTTAATAAGCCCACAGAAAAAGCTTTGAGTGATAAATCATATGAATACAACAAATAATCCACTCAGGCATTAAAAAACTGTGGCAAGGAACCAACAAACACATTTACAAATATCAATCATAATATACTCAAATGATAGCATACATATATATAAGAAAATAATTACCGCAGTGATCCTAGAATTATAAGCACGGTTAGCACGGTTACACTTGCAAGACAAATAAACATATACTAAATACAGAAACTGTTCACTCTCACGCGAGAAATCTTGCGCCTGCGTAGTCAGTCTGTAAACAGCTCCTAAAACTAGTTTTTTCACAATACATTCTGTACAGATCCGCAGGGAGAACTCAGGAATTCACAGGGGCACCACATAGACTTCATACACGCAGCATGGCTCGCGTAACACTCGCCCAGCCAGGAACAAACGAAAAAGTTCTATCTGCACCCCGCGACTTGAACTTCCTGAACTTTGAATTCACGTACTCCTTCACGGCTTAAAACATCCTGACCTCCCAAGGAACATCCAACTCTAGATCCATCTCCTCAAGGAACGAAACCCTATCCGATCCTTCAATCCTCTCATCATAGGTAAGGGTTTGCTCCACAACTCTCCTGGAGAATCTCAAAACTGCGCTCATCCTCTTAGGAGAAGCAACCTCTTCTGTCCTCCCCTCCTCAGCCTCCAGGAACACATCATCCTCCTCACCCAGCATCACCACCTCCTCACAGCCATCCTCCTGCTGAGGCCCGGAGACACTCTCTCCGAACCCACTCCTATCTCTGGATGAACCAGGAGAAGGCTGGGACGAAGAGAGGCCAACCGGCTCCTCAACATTAGACTCAGCCACACTCTCCCTTGAGCTCCTCATCCTCAACCTCTTCAGAGCTTTCTCGGCCTGGGATTCTTCTTCCACTTTACTCCCAACCTCACCTTGGGAGTGAGTAGAGCAGGAACTTCTCCTTTCCATTCAGTTCGCTCCTCATACTCCCAGTCTGCTGAACGCCTGGTCTCTCCCCAAACCTTGGGAAACTGAGCAGGGATTAACATCCTCATCCTCTCCTCGGATTCTACGCTCCCCTCCGCTAACCATCTCTCCTTCACAGCCCTCCGGAAATCCTCCTTCGTCAGCAGTCTAGATAAATACATTTTCATAATTTTGATAACTTCTATCCAGATATCATCCATCATACCAGTGATTAAAATTATATGTGCTCTGTTTATTAAGATACCAGCCCCCCCCCTTCATGCAGTAAACCACTGTTTGCTCATTTCCCTTGGCCTTTAGCGAATACTTGAGAGTAACTTTAGAACCACTAATTCCCGTTACCCTCCCAAGTTTCCAATACACAGACTCCTTGGAGCAGCTAGAATCATTAAACACAAAGCACACAATATCATTAATCACTGGGGTTCGACCAGACTTCAACCATTTGTTAGGCCTCAAACTCAAAAAATGAAGGTTATCAATAAAACCCTGGTACCATTGTTGGTAAATAGTCCGGTTTCTTTCAAGAATCTTTGTGAAATTTGAGCTCATTTCCAAATCAATCCCACTTCCCTCCAAAGATCTATAATTGTTTCGCCCTAATTTCAACCTATTGGGGGTAATAATCTCATAACCCAGGGCAGTTTCATTTGACGTATTTCCTAAAGCTAGAGGGAGGTTATCTATTGAGTTGGGTATCCTAGAGAATAATGTATCCCACTGTAGGCAGGTCATGGGATGAGAACTATTCACTCCCATCTTCTCCATGGTTTCTCTGATAACCCTGATCCTTCTCTCAACTCTTCCCCTCTCAGAGTGCGCCTTAGCATTGGAAACAATTATCTTCATCCCAAGGTTGTCTTGTACCATCGCATCCAGATCCCTCACGGAGAATTTCGCGTACTGCAGAGCTTTGAGCTGAGTTCCATTATCCACATATACAAAACTAGGAACTCCATACCGGTTTGAATGTCTCTCCAGAGCTGCACATACATCTTGAGTTTCAATTCCTTCCAAAGCCATTATGTTAGTATCTCCAGTCAGCAGACATACTATTACTAACGCATAGATCTTGATAACCGTTCTGGACCTTTTATAAGTTTGACCTTTAAATCCGTAGCAAATATCCATCATACAAGAATGAAAACATGGAGCTAAAACTGTTCTTGCCTCAGGATGATTAGCTTGCCTCAGTTCCATGGTTTTCTTCTCTATCAATCTACATTTCACACAGTCTGCAATCACTCTCTTGACCAACCATCTCAAGCCTTTTACCACTCTCATCTTCCTGTGTATCTCCTTGACTGTGGTTTCCAGGGAAGCATGAACACTGGTTTTCATATGAACATACATCAGATAGAAATACAATACTGGAGAATCCGGGAGCACCACAGGAATCCTTCCCACTATGACATGCTTGTCCAAGAATCCCACTTGATCCAAATCTTGATCCCTGATCTGGTACTCAGGAGAAAGTCTTCCTTCATCATACACTCTTCCTTCATCTATTATGAATCTCTGCATCTCTGTAGGTTTTAACGTCCTCTTCACCCTTTCAGATTCCCAGGAAAAGAAATATTGCTCTGCTTTCTCAGTTTCATTCCTAGGGTCCCATCTGTGGTCTCCCAACACACAAATCCTGCACTTCTCATCTTGAATTAAATGTTTACTGTGGAGACAGCTGGTTTTCCATCCTTGCATATACCCTGTTATCCTCAGAGCTTTCATCCAACCGTGAAATACAGGATCTACTAGTAGCTCTGCTACACCCCTCCCCGCCCTGGCCGCCAAGGCTGCAAGAGCAAGAGGTGGTTCATCAACATCCTGGAGTTCTTCCTGGATTTCTTCCGAGTTTGTAGAGAATTCCTTCAAAAATGATTCTGGAAAGCACTCTTGTTGAACATTATCCGCTGTCTTCTTGTCTAGTTTGAGTTTCTTGTATGAAGTTATAGGCATCTCCTTTTGTCCTTCCTCATCCAAGGTAATCCTTCAATCCAGTATGATCCTTTGGAAACTGTTTCTATCCCTATATCATGCTCCTTTGTCAGTAAATCTGCCAGGTTCTGGGATCCATCTACATGAAATAAAACTTCTTCCGTTGTTCCGGTAGTCCATTCTAATAACCGTAGTATCGTCATGACTCTTTTGTACACAAATAGCCTCAACTTGATGGTTTCACTACTGCACCAGCTCAGGGCAATTGTTGAATCAGTTAAATAAATCACCTCTCCTACCTCCGATCCCAGAGAAGATTTAACCATGAAAGCCAATTCTGCGCACAGTAATATCGCTGATAACTCGTTCCTGGGGATGGTTTCCTTCATTAGTTTTGATTTAGCGGCTAGGAGAGAACACGACCAAATGCCTGGGCTGGTTTCCATCCCAGCATACACAGCCGCACCCCCTGCAAATTCCGCTGCATCTGCTAAACAAATCAGTCGAATTCTGGACTTCTCATCTCTTTTACTTGGTAAACAGAATCTTGGTATCATTATCTCAGGTAGGTTGACATAACTCTTGAGAATCTCTCTCCATTTCTCTTGATCTTCAGCTGGGAGGACCTTGTTAAACCCCAAAACTCGAGGTTTATGATATCAAGAAACCGTATTCATAAATGAATAAATTGCTACCTTGGACTCATCCTTGCGCCGCTAGAACGGAACTTATATGCTGCAAAATACTCGTCAGATCCTCTACATATCTTCTGTAAGATACAGCAATCAGCGTTCGTTCTAAATAATAAAATAAAGTCAAATAAATATTTAGAGTTTTATCTCTACAAAAAGGTTATCAGAAACATATAAATACGATCATTTACTAGTATACTAAATCACAATAAATCTTCAAGCCGGGCTTTGCTTCACATAGCGTCTCATTCTAAGGCTCAGATAGATTTTCGGTCCGAAGACTATTTCATTTACAAATAAGCCTCGGTTACCTCAAATTGCGTCACAATACTTCTAAAACCTTGACAAAAACCAACTCGTCTCCGTGCGTCTAATACATCCTTCTCAAACTTTAACACTTTGAACCTAATAAAAATTTAGGAAACAATAAATATCGAACTTTTAACCACCGCGCCTTATCTTGAAAATCAGGGGGTGTTTAACAGCTCTCACGGTAAAATGAAACTCATTCTAAACCCTCCGGTATTGGGCATATTTAAGTCGTCTTTACACAGAAGACAATCAATCAATCTCCTTAATCCCTTTTCAATAAGGATTCTCCGTTCACATAATGGTTCCCTTAAACCAATCCTTAGATAAGTCGGTACTGTATAAATGCATATCTGAAGGCCCCTGCTTGCTTTCTTATATAGAACTTAAATCATTCCGTCATATTTAAACTCTTCTAACTCCGTACTGCATATATTCAGACCCAGAGAAACTTGAACACTTCTGTCATAATCGTTCCTTCATAGTTTTACTCATATACTTTTTAAACCCGGAGAAAATTCTATATTATCTATGAGATTCAAATCTCTTTAGGTTCATTTCTCCACAGATACCTGGTTTCACAATCTTTACTCCGGGTCCTAAATAAGTAGGGTAACTTCTCATTTTTATCTCCGGAGAAGTCTATAGCCTCCAAACCCAACTCTTTCAGGTTCATTTCTCCGCAGAGATCAAGTTTTACAAAATCTTTACTCTGGGTCCTACTTAACTAGGATAACTGTTTATATTTAGCTCCGGAGACGTCTAGGTTTATAAACTCAATATTGGAGACTCCAGGTTCGTTACTCTGGAGAGAATACTCAGAACTTGAAACCCACAAAACAGACCTCATCCCATTCTTTCCCTTTCAATGAACTTGTTTGCAGCTTCATTTGGAGTTTTATTGGTTCAAAAAAACCACATGGATCAAATAATTCCGAAATCTTTCCGACTATCAGGCTCCTGGTTAGTTTGACTCCACTCAGTAGTTTCTCTGCATCTAATCTAGTCTTGACTGGTTCTGGGTTTGGTTTACGTTCTCCTCTAAGTTTCTTGTTCAGGTTCAGTTCTCCGATCCCTGGCGACAGTTCATCCTTCTCCGGGTCCCACTTGTACCCAAGTAATTTCATGGTTTCTCCATCCGTACTTGCCTTCTCTGATGGTTTTTCTCCTCTCCTTACGATAAACTTTAAAGAAAACCCTCCTCTCTTCAGAACTTCTTGCACCCCTTCTATCTGTTCTTCTCTTCTCTGCTTGGAATTCTCTCCAGATAATATATCATCCACATACCTATCCTCTCTCAAGCTTTTGTAGGCTCCTGGATATCTCTCTGCTAACATCTCCGTCAGTTTATCCAGCGCAAAACCTGCTTGTCCGGTTCTAGTTCCTCAACATAGGCAGGGTTCCACACTATGACTGGAACGCGGTTCATCGTCTTCTTCTTCTTATCTCGTTCAGAAAGGTTCTCTCTGTAAGCTGTCTGTGCACTGTATGTAGCACAGGTCCCAGGACGGCTATGTGCAGGGAGACTTATGTCTACTCTGCAGCGGTCCGGGATGTACTGATCCATCTGGCTTCCTGTTGGATTCAAGGGACTGTTCACTCATATATCAAACAATCCGGAATACAACATTGTTTGGATCTTTTGGTACCAAATAATATCAATACATATATTCAGTGTTAAAGTTTATAACCATCACAAAATATCAGTTCTAAAACATATAATACTAAAATTATTAGAAAAGAAAATTTTAATGAGGTTATGAAATGAAAAGAATTCTTAATCTAGAAAATTGACAAAAGATTCAAATTAAACAGATATTTTTATCCGTGTAACCAAAAAATACGATGAAAAGTTTTAATTTGACGTGAAAGGAAATTTTTTTTTTCTTTCAATTCTTTTTATCTGATTATGACATTGCAGGCCAGCTAGGCGAAATAGTTGTTTTCTTGCTAAATTAAATTGTTTAAATTTGCGCCCCTGGTTCTACATGTTAGGATTTATTTTGCTTTAGTATTTTCTTTACCTAAGACCATTGGTGCACAGTGCATATATGATTCTGCATGTTTTTATAGGACTTTTTAGAATCAAAAAGAAAGTATTAACCTTGCAATTAAGTAGGGTAGGGAGGTATAGCCGTATTTCCCTTAAATAAAAAACCCCAACCCTTATAGGCCTATGGTTAAAAAACGTTCCATGCATCTCATGACCCCAATATTTGCATGTAGGTTGTTTTTTTTCTTTTATACTTTTTTGTTAGATTTATTTAATATAAAAGTGACACTATTGATAATATTTCTTCTCTGATATATTGTGCCTGGGTATACAATGATTGATCTAGGGATAGGATAAATACAATAAAGCATAAAACTAAGTAATCCAAAGAGTGTGCATGCTCTTACACAAATAAAAGTTTAGTATTTTTCCAATTAATCCTTTTAAACTAAAGAGTAATATTGTTTATATACAATATACATGCAAGTTTAGGGCTAAAAAATGTATAGATTAATGTAATTTTGTAAAGCCAAAAATCAAGGGGTTGCGACATATTAAAGTCAACCCATTCTTAAAAAATTTATGAATTATGGAGAAATCTGTCTCTCAGGGAAAAAAATTCTAAATGTTTTCCTTAGTAAAGTTTATTTATGTATATTCATAAAAACTTCTGTTTGTTGTTAGCCTGGTTTTAAAAGCCTAAATTGATTCTTTTTTTTTTGGGGGGGGGGGAACACTCTAGACCAAGCTAGGTTTCCAAGCTTGTAATTAAATATACTCCTAAATGTCAAAAATATTGTCTTTATTTGTCATTTTAAAATAGCAAAGTCCCCCCCCCGCATATCCTGGTTTTCAAGTACCCTAGCAGAGATAGGGTTAAAGAAAATATCATTTTAAATGATTATAGCATTTTGTAATATAAATGCTTGTCGTTTATTTTTCTGAGACTTCATTCTAAGCTTTGATTCAAAATTGAATTTCAGGCACCTTACTATTTGTTTTATTGCACTATTGGCTTATTAAGGTAAAATGTTTGATTCGATCATGCTCGTTAAATTAATTTTTAAAATCCAAACTTTGAAAACTTGAACAATTCTTAACTTTAATAAATTTCCATAGTTTTCTGTAAAGTGAAAAGCAAGTTTGAAATTTAAAGTTCTCAAGCCATTCTAAAATTCTTTTGAATTACAACATTTTATTTTTGATCTATACGTTCGGCTTTTTAGAAATTATTCGTTCACGGTCTGACTTAAATAAAAAGTATAAAGTATCATTAACGAATTTACATTGTTCGTTTTTTTCGTTTGATTCGCAAATATATATTGTTTTGTATTATTCTATTGATTCTGTTTTGTTTGTTCATAATTCGTTAATTTGTCTAATCGACACCATCGTTCACGAACAAATTTGTTGATTTAGAAAAATATTGTTCGTTTTCCATTTCTAGACATTCAGATATTTTCAAACCAAAATTTGTACCAAAGAAAAGTAAATATTTTCATTTTCATTTTAATCTTTTATTTGGGTTTGGCCATTTCCAATCGGAATTCCGTTGCGGGGAATTGCGCGCAACTCTTCTCGTTTTACGCGGAATTACGCGGAAATTAGAGAGCCCGCAATTGAGCGAAAGTAAAATCCACTCACGTTGGAAACCCTGTAATGCATCCTGCTTATTTTGTTTGATTTTTCCTTTAACACTTCAAACAACTTAACAATTCTAAGATTACCATTTTTAAGATTATTTATCTTCAACTTTTCTAGAATTTTCTTTATCCTTTAAAACTCTAACTGAGTTCCTCCGAAGTTTAGCTAAGCCTAGAGTTCTATAAAATAAACACACTGCTACAATTTCCTTTTGATTTTAACAGTGTATCCCGTAAAGTTGTAAACACTAAACATGATTTATTTACACAATATTAATTCAATTAAAACAAAAGAGAATTCGACTCGTTATTTTAGGGTTTAAAATAAAACTGAACAAAACAACTTTTTCAGAAAATTTATCATACTAGCCTTAGAGGGCGCTTCGCGTCCATCTTCTAAATTAATTGTGAACATGTTCTCTTTGTGTACATCGTAAAACAAAACAAAAATAATTCGCGGATTTTCACAAAAAATTTCGTGGATTTTCAAAATTTTAAAAAATTTAATGAAGATCAAATTTTGATGGAGACAAATATTTAAAATTTTGATTAGTCATAAACCTTCCCTGGGGTCCCTAGATGTCCCACAAAAAATTTGAGCCCGATTGGTTCAGCCGTTTTGACGTTTATTGGATACAAACAAACAAACAGACATCTAAACAGACAAGCCAAATTTATATATAAATTTCAGAAGCCCTTAAAATATTGATAACAAACATCATTAAAGCATTGATAACAAACATCATTAAAACATTGATAACACATATTCTAATATTTGTCAACTAAAGAATTATAAAGATATTTCTAATATTTTTAAGACATCATTTTTACAATCATTTAGAAACTTCCCAAGTACATTCACAAAATAATTTAATAATTTATAGTTTAGTTAGACCCATAAAACTGTGGAATAGGAAGACGACTTTTTAAATTCAAGTTATTCTTTCAGATAATCCATATGAACATAAAACACAGCTTGTAGAGGATGAAATCCCCGAAAGAGGATTATGAAATCCGCAAAGGAGTTGTGTCGGATCCTGGAACCAGAGAAGACCTTCTCAACTTCCTCTCCTTTTATACACTCTTTATTTAATATGTATTTATATCTAGAAGCAATAAATGTACTTCTAA